CAATCAATCAATCAATTTCAACTTCTCACAAGAAAAACAAGATCTTGCAAAGTTGGAATTGATTGATTGAACTTTTTACCACAGCCATGCCCACCCAATGGCCACGCCCACCTAATTGGCCACAATCACCCAACGGCCACGCCCACCTGGCACCCGATGATACATAAGTGGGTTTTGGGTTGCAGTTTGGGCACTCGGTCTCTAAAAGGTTTGTTATCACTGGAATAAGGTATATCAGTATCACTACTGAAATCTGTAAAAGTCACATGTTCCATAACTACAGTATGTTGAAATTGTATCTAAACATGCAAGTTTCCATACAGACTGCTAGAACATCCTTAGCCATGGATTTTTTTTCTTTTTTCCTATGTAATTAATTTATGAAATTGTTATAGGGATGAAATAGGGAAGGGGGAAACAACCAAAAAATATATTACACTGAATGAGGAAAAACTTGGACTATTAATGAATCTGCTTTCATCTCCTAAATTAACCTAAAATTAAGATGTTGATCCTTTTTGTCTTGCAAAGTTGAAGTGCTTATTCAGCTGTCCTAGGGCAGGGCTTTTCAACCTTTTCACCCATTGTACCACTTTTAGGATATGGCAATATCTGAGTACCACCAGTCGCCTAGCAAGGTGTCAAAAACTTGATGACCCCCCCAAAAAAAGGAAAAAAGTGATAAAATACAGGTAGTCCTCAACTTACAACAGTTCGCTTAGTGACTATTCGAAGTTACAATGGCACTGAAAAAAGTGGCCCCCAAGCCACAGCCGAGCAAGACACCTGCCTACCCACCTGGCGGCACTCTTCCTCGTGTCCAAGGTTTTCATTGTTGTGAGCATTTCTGTTGAAGATTGGCAGCGGGGGTGGGATGGGGAGGTGTTTGGTTTTTATTCCCCCCGTCTGCTGGGTGGTTGCAGCAGGTTTTGGTCACTTCACATGACGCTGAGACACTGTGACCGTTATAAATATGAATCAGTTGCCAAGCCTCTGAATGTAAATCACAAGACCCTGGGGATGCTGCAACATTCCAGCTGATAGGTGCTTCTTCTGGGCTCAGAAGCACCAGGATCAGCGCCAAGCTCCAGCTGGAGCCTGGTGCTGATCCTGGTGCTTCCACTGAGCCCTGACAGTCCCGAAGAAGCACCGATCAGCTGAAAAGCAGCACTGATCCTGGCGCTTCTGCTGAGCCCTCACAGCCCTGCAGTTCCAGCCATCTGTCGCTCAGGCTTGTGCGGTGCTGCTACCGGTTCAGCTCATTTCCCTTCCCCACTACCACTTTTCTAGGATGGTTGCTTACCACCTGCCAATGTACCACAGGTGGTACCGTACTACTGGTTGAAAAGCCCTGTCTTAGAGAGAGCAGAAAACTACTGAATTCAGGCATGAAATCGGCTGGCCCTAACTCTTCTGCACTTGTTTCAGTCCACTTTATAACCTCATTCCCTCCAGGGTAATGAGTAACAAAACCTAACATTTTTTTACATCTTCTATCTAGACAGGCTACCTTGAATTTTATGTGAATAAGGAACAAAATCTTACTTTACCTCCAGACACTGAAAAAGCTAAGCATGGTTTAAGCTTGTGTAGGATGGGCATGTATTGAAGACAATGTTGTGAGGATAGGGAGAAACATGTTTTATGTTTACTGTAGATGCAAATGATGAAAGGTCATTTATCTCTAAACAGGCTGCATGCGTTATTCAAATGTACTTGTGGGAAAACAGTTAGTACCAATTTTAAAAAATACAGTTTGTATCTTCTACATAAAATACTTGTTTAAAGTTTTCATCACAGAAGTTGCAGCTTTGTTTTATACTTTTATTTTTAATATGGTTTCACAATACCCCAAATGCCCCCCCCTTTTTTTGCTGGAGTTAAACATCTTTTCTCTCTCTCATTGTAATGATAACTTGTTCTCCTGTAGTTTGGCCTCATTACAAATATGATTGCTTTATGGAGATGGAAAAGATATTTGCTTAGTGAAAACCAGAAAAGCTATTTCAGAACCTGCAGAATTTAAGGGCACATCAGAGTCTCTCAGGCAATCCTGGCAACAAGGAACCAGATCCACCTCAGCCTGCAGTGCCATAAACTACAACAACGTCCCATTAAACTCCGTGATACTTATTTTATCGAGTAAACGTGCCTGTACTATAATCAGGCTGCATCCCTAGGAATTCGAAAGACACACAATTCTTTTCATAAAAGAGGCTATATGGTATGTAAGTATAGAATTCTTTCCGTTACTATTTCCTTACAATCTCTTCGAGCCCTGAAAACATCCAGCTTGAGGTAGAAAGCACAAAACAGGTCCGAATTAACTTTAAAAAAATGCATGTCACACCAAAGTCTGTCGAAAGTTGGAAAGCAGACCAATTTTACTTACACGTCCTTGCCTCTGAGAGTGAGATCGCGGTCGCTGTAATAAAGAGGCCGTAATTAAGCAGGCAAATAACGTCCAGGAGTCTCATTCTTAGGGGAGAAGTTGAGAGTAATAGACTAACGGGGTCGGTGTATCTTCTTTCGGAGCTAAGAAGTGGATGCTGGCATCTGCTCTCAGCTGTCGTTTGGTTGTTCACACAGTATCGGGAAGCGAGTATAATATACTGCCTGGTTCTAGTCCTCCAGCAGAGCGGGAGGGAGAGGAGACTGGTTGGGGGATGGCCTCATTCGAAGGCAAGACAGTTCCTGGAAGCGGTCCTGTCCATTTCAAGCGGTGGGTAAACAGGAAGGCCGAGGGGAGGACTTTATGGCAGTGGCCCAGAAGCTGCTGAACCTCCCGCGGGGCTGAAGGGTGCTCAAAAGGACCCTGTGTGTGTGTGTGTCCTTGCTTGCGCGCGTGCGAGAGAAAGAGGCAGAGAGGAGGAGAAATTGCCGTTTGGTTGTGTTCTTCCCAAAGCTCGTTGCCATAACACAGAAAGGGGCAGTTTACTTTCGTCTCGTTCCTCCTTCCAAAATCAAAGCTACTGCTCTTTGGCTACCGTTCGGCTGTTTTTGCACAGCAAGCTAGAAACCAAGCCATCGGAGTTCTTTGCCTATGATCCCAGCCTCTCTGGCTGCTCCTGCAGATCTGTTTTATGCAATCTCAAGACAACTGATTTTGCAGAACAAACCGGTGATGCATTTAATTTTTGGGAAAAATGTCATGTGATGCCCATTGTTTACAATACATAATGTTGCAATTTTAATGTAACGGACAGCTTTTTGAAGACTATCCTGCAAAGACAACATCAGTGAATTGCTATATATGACTTTAAATGAATTACCATTTAAGTAACTCAGGCTTGGCTTTAATTACATATTACAATTGAATTCTAATTAGAGATAGCTTGTTGACGAACAAGAAAGAAAGTTGCATGGCATCTTAAATGGCATCTGTTAGTGAATCCTATTGATCTAAAAAAAAATAAATCTAAATAGACACATAAAATGTGTTACAGTGCTGTAACAATACAATCCTGCATGCACCTGCTTGTCAATGTTACACTCCAAAAGCTAGAGGAATCATGACTCATTGGTGAAGATGCCTATGGATTTTTTGTGGCCAAATAGTCCCTGAAATATCTGCAATTCTTAAGCCAGCCATTTTTGGACTTTTTTGGGGAGAGGGGGGAATCACAAAAGAATATTTGATAGACTGCATGGAGCTCTTTTTTTTGTACCTCTGATGTTCAGGTTTGAACGGCAACCAGTTTATTGATGTACACTTTCATGGACTAGAATCATTTTACTTATGAGTTTGATCATTTTAGAAAGTGTAGGAAAAGGACAGGCAGAGTCAAGAAAAGAATCAGTCTGGAGTTGTTACATTCTCACAAAGACCAAAGTCCAACGTTTCTTGAATTGGGTTCACTCTTATCTGGTGCAAATTTAGTGCTGGCTGTTAATTGACTAGATTCATGTGTTTAGGCATGGATAATAAAACTGGAACTTAATGTGTAGACCCGATTCTTAGCACTGACAGAAAGTCTCAACAAGTAGTAGCTTGGCTGATATCTGAAACTACACAGGGAGTTCTAGGGCTGTTGGTTACACTAGGAAGCTGAAAAAAAAATGTCCTGGAAAAAGCAAGGGCAATCAGTTTTGTAACCCTGCCAAGTTAAGTGCCCAGATATACTCACAATTTTTTAAAAAATACTTCTTGTAATAGAACATATTTGTCTGACAATTGTCAATGTATAGTTTGTTTTTACAAAGGTCATTTAACAACAAGAAAAAAAAAACCCAACCTCACTCTACACAGGGAAATCCATTACTTCAAACTTGAGGTCACAATATCTGTACAAGCTTTTCTGATCTCAGTATAAGGCAACTTAGTAAAAAACAAAACAAAATTTGAGAGAAAAAAAGGATGTGAAAAAGGATACACAACTTAGTTTATCAAAATACAAACACACATACACATACACATATACAGAGAGAGAGAGAGAATTCAAGAATTCCAGTTTCCGTCACTCTGGAAACTAAATCCTGCCTCCTTGGGGGACCAATGATTGATGAGTTCCATCAGTCAAGGTATCCTTCATTGGCTGTTTCCTTTCCTCATTTACGTTCTGTCTCTGTTTGTCTCTCTCTCTCCCTCTCTGTCCCTCTTTCTCTCCCCCCCCCCGTCCCTTTCGTAGCTAAGGGAGACCGACGTAGTTACGCGTCCTTCCTGCGCACCGTTGCTATCGGAGATTAGCCAATAAGCATTCTCCAGGAGCGTCACGTGAAGACGTAACGCTTAAACCTGCGACAGAGGCGTGGTCACGTGACTTTGTAGAAAAGCCAGCCCAAGAATCTGTGGCTACTATAGGATTTCTCAGCGACGAGGAGACGAGAAGACGGTCAGGAGGCCTCGGGGGCGGGAGAGCTTTGTGAAACTAATTTAACGTGGGGACGAGGGAGGCGCCCGTGCTGCTGATACAGGCCGAAGGCTTGACGCATGCCCTTTTTCCCTCTGGTCACGCTGATAAATCACAGTAACAGGGCAGTTCTCATAACGTGGAACAAACCGTTCAGTCTGGTTTGCTGGGCGCGCTGTTAGTGCTTCTAGTACAACAGTAATTCGCGAGTCGAAAGATTTGGTGGCGTTGAATAACTGCCTCTACACCACCTTGGACTTCGCACAGGAATTTAAAATGGATGATGAAATGCAATTAATATTTAATATTTATGCTACTTTATTGGAGAATACAACACACCGTAGAATATAAAAGCAGAAGCAGTTACTTTATAATGTAGGACCAAAGCTTACAGTTATTTGTAAGTTTGTATAATAGCTCACAAAGTACACTTTTTTGGGAGCATGCATATTTAGTCTATAGAGATTATCGTGTTTTACTGTTTGAGCAGTTGAATACACTATCAAGAAAGAAAGTTGAATTTTGCCTGTAGAGAAGCATTTGATGGGAGTGATAGCAATGGCAGCATGAATCAATTATCTGCATTAATCACAGTTGTATTCTTTACATTTGATGTTGTACACAAGGTGTCATGAAACACTCATGCATGTATGAAGTAGCATTGAAAAATTAGGTGGTTCAATCTGAGAATCAAGTTGCAGAATGAACTTTAGTTATGATTTAAAAGCCATATTTGATCCAGGAAGCTCTCTGACTTAGCCATATTCCTTAGTTTTAAATAAATAAATCCATTGCTTTTATAATTACTGTTTCAAATCCAGTGCAGTTAACTACATCTTTAATTGTATTTTTTAAAACCATGTACATATGCTCTAATAGAAGTTTTGGGTATATTCTACAAATCAGCCTACAGCAGATCTTATACCTGATGTAATTGAAAAATACATTAATGAAACAATATTTCATCCATGACTTACAAATAATATATGTCACAATTGGATGCGTAAAGCTTTCGTTACTATTACACATAATACTATTAACAATTTTATGATCTGCCCCTCTTTTTTAAATCATTTATTATAGAATGATCTACTTATAGAATGACCTACTTTAAATCATTTACTATAGAATGGCCTCCCTATTTATGTAAGGAGATTGTAAGATGATTCTGCTTTGTTTCTGCTAGTGGTTGTCTAGTGTAAAGAACCAGTGCTTGCTCAGAACTGTGCCCATAGTATGAAAATTGCTAGGAAATACTGTAGTATATGTTGTACTTAAATCATTGCTAATCTTTAAAATTTCTTTGCTGGCCTGCTTTGAACAAGTAAACTATTTTCTAAAATAATACACTTTGGATTTATGGCCCATTTGACAATGAAGAAAGCTTTTAAAAAAATTTCTATTTTCATTTATTCAACCTGTGTTATTTGTCCTTTTCCTTTGATTTTTTAGTTTTAACATTTATTTTAAAAATATTTTATGTTTTGTGGAATTCTGTGAATATCCTGTTTTTACTGAATGTAGCTTCTACAAATCCAGTTTTTGAGAATATTCAGTTAATTATTTCCTGATTAAGGAATGGGGTAGGAATCTACGGTTATATATTTTCATATGCATAGATATCTAAAAAAATGCTTTTCTTGGATAAAAGATAAGTGTGCTGCACTCTGCTGCACATTTTAAATAAGATGTGGCTTCACAGAATAAAAGCTCATTGTAGGAGAGTGTGTGCTATGTTATAGAACTAGTTCTTTAGTGATATTGGTTTGAAAGAATAAAGAAGTTATTGTGTATTCTTACTCCCCCCTTTCTTTATTTTTGGTAATAGGTCAATGAGTCCCCCTTGACTGAATATCCTGCTATTAGTCAATATACCATACCTGCAGTTTATTTGGTGCTCTGAATGGCTGTTGGAAAGGGATGTACAGTCTGATGGCCAATTGCTGCAGCTGGCTGAAGCGGTGGCGAGAACCTGTCAGGTAAATAACCAGCTTTAAAATACTCATTTTTTTTAGTAACTTTGAAGATTACAGATGGTACAGCAGGTATGAAGTTATTTAGATCTTAGTTAACTCGTTTTCACAGAGGACAGATTAAAGCAAAATATTATCTGAAATACTATAAGGGAAATTTTCTATAATTTAATTATGTCATATATTTTTAAAAGTATAGTTCGATGCATGAAGTGTTATTGATACATGGGAAGAAATAAGAATAGGGGGATCAGAGGGAAACATAACACAAGATTATTATCCATTTTAAGATTATGACAGATAATTTTTTTTGTGCTTTTTGTCTATTCTGTTGGCTGTGCTGCAAAGATCTTACATTAGGCATACTTCCAGTTATTTATTGGCCCTGTTTACAGAGAACAAGATTTATAAGAGAAATTTTTCAGGAGACTGGAAAAGTAATAGAAAGGAAATTAGCCATAAACAGTTAAGAGACAGAAGGTGAGTCTGTTGGTAGCTCGTCCTGTAAAAGGCAACTCAGCCTAGGTGGCAAAAACCTGGAAGTAAGCATTTCAAATCATAAAGGGACTTCATCTTAGTTCACTATAAATTAGGATTAGACATTTATTTTGCAGTTTGTATGATACTTTATTTATTTCACAATTAGCCTTTCTGAAGTCTCTGTAATCCAAACTTTTATCTTGCTAAAGTTTGAGGATCTAGACAGTTAAAAGATTTCTATGTCGGGGTCCCCAACCTGTGGGTCACTAGTGGGCCATGAGGGGTTTGCAACTGGGCTGTGGAAATGGCTGCTGAGTGCTCACGAACATCCTCACTTGTACGAGCAGCGTGTGAGTGTGTATATACACCATTTGTGTGAGTGGCAAGTACACGTGCACGCTGCTTGCAAAAATGGAGCTGAATGCATGCTTGCTGGCTGCTTGTGTGAGCATTCCCTCTCAAGCTGCTAGTCAAACATTTTTTATCCAAACTCAGAGTTTAGAGAGATTGAGATTTGAGGGCAGCGACTTGAATTTCTCTGCTCCATCCCAAAGGAAGAAAACGGAGACGTAGAGCAGGATTGCTCTCAAGAAGATGCGGGTGCACTGCTTGTTCACGTGCACAGCCTCATTGAGAGCAATCCCGCTGTGCGCCTCTGCTTCTTTTCATTTGGATGGAGTGGAGAAACTCAAGCTGCTGTTGTTCAAACACCCTTTATCCCAACGGAGACCTTGGGGAGATGGGGAACTTCATCTGAATGTGAATGCAATGCTTGAAAATACAGCGAATTGCTATGTTTCCAAGGCTTCCATAGGCAGTCAAACACCTTTTATCCAAATGGAAATCTTGGGGAGATTGGGAGCTTGAAAACACAGTGAATTTGCTTCATTCTGAACCGCCCCATTTGCTCACAGAGGGAGAATCCAGTTTCCCCAAGGTCTCCCTTTGGATAAAAAGTTTATTAGCGGCAGCAGCTTGGGTTTCTCGGCTCCATCTGAGTGGAGAAAAGCAGAGGCACAGCAGCAGTATTGCTCTCAATAAGGCCAGCGCACACAAGCAAGCAGCGCACCTGGGTCTTATTGTTTGAGAGCAATCTTGCTGTTGAGCCTCTACTTTCCTTCACTCAGACGGAGCCAAGAAACCCAAGCTTCTACCGCTGCTTGAATGAGGAGCACAAGGAGGAGAAGAGTAGTGAGGATTTGTGCCATCCAGCCAGCCAGGCGAGGACTAGGGCAGGGTGGGTGGCTGGCTGGGGAGGGGGATCATGGCTGCTCAGATGGTTGGCTTAGATGCGGGTGTGAGGGACCTGATCCCGCAGTATGTCCCCATTCATTTGAAGGCTTCATTTCTGCCCTCAAATTAACTCCAGCGCATGCAAGTGAGCCACTAAGCCGGGCCACGGACGGTATTGATTCCTGCGTCCAGCCAACTCCGATTCCACGGTTTACCCCATAGGCATGCAAATGAAGCAAACACTTCTCTTCCCCCCCCCCCCGAGAATGGAAGCTTCTGGGGGCCATGATCTCTTTTGCAAAGAATGGATGCTTGAACTTGTGTGATATTACGGCACCCAGGAGCTTCCATTGTTAGTAGGAAAAGCATTTGCAAGCTTTTCTCCTCTCCCTCAAAGGAAAGAAACCGCCGCAGAGAGGAGGCAGATTTTGCAAGGTAAGTGACTCTGGCGCAGCAGGAAGGGAGGGGGAAACATGAGGTTTCTTAGTGCGTCAGAGAGGTCTTGGGGCCTGTTCCATCACTAGCCCCCCCCCATGGCCTTCCTCATCCTGAGATACCTCGTGCACTTAACGAGCTGCGTGCGTTTTTAATGAGCAAGGGAGTGATCTCATTCGATTTATGAGATTCACTCTACTAATTTTTGATTTACTAGAGGAATGGGCAGGCTCCATTACACTCGTAACTTGAGGACTACCTATATGTATCAAATTTTTATCCAGAGGCAAGATAGTTTCTCTTGCTTCACAATACGAAATATTCCACAAATGCTCTTCAAAATGCATCTTAATATATTAAATCATTCCCTCCATGGTTTTAGTACCATGTTCTAAATATTGTATAACTGAAATAAGAGCGAAGTCTTCCTTTGCTGCTCTCCCCCCTTCCTATATTTTTCCATGTGTTTTAGAATTTTGTTATAGACCACTTACTTTACCTCCACTTTGTAAAATAGATGAAATCCTTGTTAAATATTTGCCATTTGGTTTTGGCTGGTAATATTGAATGTATATTTATTTGTTGCAAAATGTTATGTGACTTTTTAAGGACAGCATTCTAATTTCTTTTTGTTGGTATTTCAAAGGAAGGTGACATTGATCATGGTGGGTCTTGATAATGCTGGGAAAACTGCAACAGTAAAAGGAATCCAAGGAGGTCAGTTGCATATTCTTTTTTAATCTACAATTTTCAAAATATTATTGACAAGGATTAAAACACTTTTTTCATGTTTAAACTAGACTACGTAATCAGGATCAAATACTTACTGTAATATTTTACTCTGTTAAGTCAAATAATATCTCATTGTTTTGAGAGAAAGAAAATATATACATGATTACTACCACTACCATCCATACACATCCTAGAATTTAAAGGCAAGGAAGCATAATACATATACAGTACCTGGAGTTTTCTTGCCTTTTGCTATTGCAGATTTCATTTTTTAACTTACATCTTTTATTTGGCACTTCTTTGATTGGTGGAAATATGCATAATTTTATGCTTGTTGTTTGGTTTCTTGTTATGCATATTTTAGATACCTCGAATACCCTAAATGTCCTGAATATATCCTCTGAATAGAAAGAGCTCATATACACCTAAAAGCTTATCTGCCCCATTGATTTACTGTAAGTGATTGTTCTCTAAAGCAGTGGTTCTCAACCTTTTTAATGCCGCGACCCCCAACCGGTCGTAAGTCAAGGACTACTCAACCAGTCGTAAGTCGAGGACTACTCAACTGGTGCAGCACCGTTTGCAGAATGGGACTTTTGGCGGGCTCAACAGGGCAGAGACAGCCTGGACAATTCCTATTGGCTTTTGAAAGCCAATAGAATTAGACTCTATTCAAGAGAGTCTATTCTATTGGCTTTCAAAAGCCAATAAAATAAAAGGGAGTAGCACAGCTAAGGAAAAGGGGGGAAAAATGGCAGACTGCGTTGTTTGGCAACCCCCATGAAATGGTCGTTCGACCCCAAATGGGCTCCCGACCCACAGGTTGAGAACCACTGCTCTAAAGTCAGGAAAGTCTATCTCTGTTTGTTAGGGAATTCCAGTTCATGTAGGATAATCATAAAAGAAAATTTGGTTTCCTCAGTATATCAACACTGCATATGGAATTTTCTAGATCCTGGCTAATAAGTTTCATTCAAATTCTTTTAATATAGATAAAGTCTGAAATAAATTCTCAGTAAAAGCATGCTTTATTTTAATATTACTGTTGCTTTGAAACAATTATTAGTTTCAATATGCTCATAAGCTAATGATTAATAATATTTTTTTTACTTGTACAGTAAAATATTTAGCAATTCTCTATTATAGCTTGGAATTAATGAAGGATAATTGGTCATATCACAATTCACAATAGGTCAAGTTATAATAAATGTTTGTTTTCATATAGAAATATATTTAGCTGTTGCTTAGATATTGTTATATATATGACAGTTTATAATTTATAAGTAACTATTACATAACTATAGATGTCTGTAAAATTCATAGTAATGTAATATAGGAATATCCCCCATGTTTCTTCTCTTTATTCCTATTCTACAAATATGAAGCCCTGTAATTTCTTCCCAGCTCCAGATAATTGCTGGCCCTCTGTTCTGTTTGCCACATTGTTTTGGGGAAAATATAAAAAGTTGGGAATGTATTTATTTTATTTATTTATTTGTATCCTGCCTTTATTATTTTTTACAAATAACTCAATACTGCCTATTCTTTGAAATGTACCTGTGGGAGACTCAAACAATCCAATACATTATTAGATTATTAGAATAAATCAAAATTCTTATTCAAGCTTCATCAAACAACTGCCTCTCATAATATATTTTAATTTTGTCAGAATCACCTGAAGATGTGGCTCCAACAGTTGGCTTTTCTAAAATTGATCTTAAACAACGATGGTTTGAAGTAACAATTTTTGACTTAGGGGGTGGAAAACGTATCCGGGGCATTTGGAAAAATTACTACGCTGAATCCTATGGAGTAATATTTGTTGTGGATTCAAGTGATGTGGAAAGAATGGAAGAGACAAAAGAAACCATCTCAGAAGTTCTAAGACATCCCAAGATATCAGGGAAACCTGTATTGGTGTAAGTAACATAAATTAAAAGATATTTAAATATTATATATTGAAAATGATTGTACTACTGTTGAAATAATTAGAAATAATAGGAAAATTGTATGACATAAATAAATCCCATAATGGTTCTATGTATTCTTTTTTATATGCTAGTTTTTATATGGTACGATTATTATAACTATTTTATTTTTAACTATTAATGATTGATGCAGTATTAAAATATAAATGGTCTATTAAAATATCATTAAAGAGATATGCATGCCCAACACCAGAGGGTGTAATTGATGCATTCTAAATATTATTAACTTCTGAGAACTGACATTATCAAACAATCTAAAAAAATAACCATATGTTAAGATGGTTCTTATTGGATAGAATTTTCAAAGAAATATTGTGATGCATAATATTTTCTCATAAATGTTCTTAATAGAAAAGCCCTTACAAGGTTGCAACGTTTTGAACTTTTCTATAGTGCATTTGTAAAAAGAAGGGTATCTTCTGTATTTTGCTATAGGTTGACAGATTTCATTTCTTTCATATTTTCATTCTTGGGTATAATATAGCAGGAAATTTGGGTTATATAATAACATTGAGACATAGGCTCTTTAGTTCATGTTGCTGCAGAATTTATTTGCAAATACTAAATTGCTCCGGAAAATATTTGTATCCCAGAAGAACTCTCATTATTTGCAATGGAAAATTTGTACCCATTGTATCCATAAAAATAAATGTAGTCTTTTACATATACAAATAGAATTTTCTTATCTGAAGTGTTTTGGTTGGCATTCTCGGCACTGACATTCCTTATTGTTAATGTGTGTCTATGTGCTTGTATCTAATTCTGAGAAACATTTTTAGTTTGAAAATATTTAAATATATAGTTATATGTGGTTTTAAATAATGAAGCAGAATTGATGAATAATTCGAATGACTTGCTGTGAAAACTGTTTATGTCAGACATGTCAAACACAAGGCCCAGGGGCCAGATGCGGTCCATGAAGAGGTTTCATGTGGCCCGCGAAGCCATCCTGGAAACAGTAAGGGAATGGCCTGCACTGCCTTGGCTCTGGCCCAGGCTGGCCGGGAATCAATGTACAATTTTGTGGTGGCTATCTATGCTGAAACGCATTCAGTCTTAGCTCCACAAGGCCATCTGGAACCAGCAAGGAGCCAGCTCCTACCGTGTCGGCCCCACCCCCTGGGTGCATACTGGGGAGTGACACCTCCCCAGCTGCGTTTCTTGCCTGTTTTTCTCCATCCCTCATCTCAAATATTTTCCCACCACTCTGTACTTAGGAAAGAAGGAAAGAAAGAAGGAAAGAAGAAGAGGGAGGATCTGAGGGAAGTCCTACCTTAGTCCTACCCTGCTCTCTTTCACCATCCCCTTGCCCCCTCCTCCTGGCCTATCCTGGGGGTCTCCCATCCTATTGCTAAGGAAGCTTTGGATACAAAGCAGGGTCTCCTCCCATGGAGAGGGAATGGGCCTCCCTCTGATTTTGCCCTTGTACCTATCATGAGCAACCTGGTTAAGGAGAGCAAGCACAGCAGCAGCAGCCTTGAGGAGGAGGTAAGTGCAGCTGGGCGCCTCCTTGGGGAAGTGGGGTTGGGCTTGGTGCCGCAGGTGTTCCAGGGCCAGGCTGGGCATTTGACCTCTGCTGCCCAGGGCTCTGGGCAACCTGCACCACCATCCAGCCCCCCCCCCCGCATGGCTTGAGAGGAACAGTGAGGCTCCTCCAGTGGACCATGCCTTGGCACTTGCCCTGGTCCCACCCCTTCTGCCAGAGACTCTTAGATCTGTCCCACTCCTGTCCAGGCCCCCACAGGCACCCTTGACACGAAAGATGTAGATCTGGTCACACCCACCAAGTAGGTCACACCCACTCCACCCACACCCTCCCAGTAGGCCGCACCCACCCGGCCCCCTGAGGGCAACCGTAATGCTGATGCGGCCCTCAATGAAATTGAGTTTGACACTCCTGATTTATGTTGACTGATTATTTAGGAAAGCAGCCATACTAGCTACGTTGCTGAAAATTCAACAACATGAAGAAGGATTTCAAGCCCTCGTAATATAAGTTAACTGCATTTTCCTTATACCACTCTAGATTTTGATGTTTACTACTTCAGTAATTCCAGAATGTTAAAAGCAGTGGGTATTCACCAAAAGTTTTTAAAAGTAAAACAAACTAAACTAAACACTAACTTATTAGTGGACTAATTCCTAAGCTGAGGTATAGTTCAGCTCTACCCGTACCTTTTGTGTCACGATTGTGATTAAAGCCAGCTATAGGCCTATTACATAATGTTCAGCATGCATTAGCTATCTATTGAGATTTGGTAATAAGTAAACATGACTGACTTTCCACTTTTGTTGATATGTCTTTAAGTGTTGTTGATTCCTGATAAAAATTCATGCCAGATTAGTGTTGAAATCCTTTAGAGCTTTTTATATTATATATTAATGAAGGAAGTTGAGATTTAAATAGGATTTTTTCTGATAGTGTAGATAGCATGAAAGACCCGTTTGAGAACAATGCTTAGTCACAAATTGCTTGTATATAAATACAGATTCTAGACACAGAACTAGAACTGAGGGTGAGGGCGTTATAACTGTTAAAAATTATAATCCTTTACATTTTTTCCCAAGAAATCATGGTTAATTACTGGTCAGGTGAATTATATCTCACAATTTATAAGCCCACCCACATTCTATAGTGCCGCTCACAACATCCACAAACCCAACAACTCCATTTTACCCCCCTTCCCCCCATGCTCGTTGCTTGGGACTTCACCTGTTCCCATTTCAAACGGTTCTGGGATCTTGACGACAGTCAGGATTACAGTTGCTAAGCAGTGTAGCCATATGGCATCGTGTTTTATAGCTGTATTGCTTAACAATGGAAATCCCAGTTCAGATTATTATCATAATCATAAACTATAATGTTGTTATAGTTTTGCATTAAGTGACAATTCAGTCTTTGTAATATACTTCACAAACCATTGTTAAAAGAAAAAAAAGTCTGTGATGGGAGGCTTAATTTTTCTATTGAGTTAAACAAGTCTCATTCTTATATAATACTAAAGAGGTTAAAAGCATTTTACATTGTACTAGGAGAACAGCAGCTACAGCTATATTTACAAATAAGACATGTTGTAGCAGTATTGTCTACTTGAAAGAAAACAGTGAAGTGTAACAGGTAGAATGAAGCAGAGCAATGACAGGGACGACATACATTTCTTTCCTAGACCAGCACTAGGTTACTTTCTGAGCAGCTCCTTATCTTTTTCTCTCTATCTAGCATTCTGTCATGAATGGTGTGCCTTGCTTAGCTGGTTTTTCTTATGTCACTCCTTTTAAAGTATGTCCACTCAGCATTTATTTATGTTACAAGACATAGAAAGAGCACAGCTTTTTTTTTTGCAGTTGGTTAAAAATGGCCTCTTGTGCTTTTGACTGTCAGTTATATACAACTGCACATTGTTCATTGTTGCATTTATTTCTTTATCTTGGTGAAGGTTTTTTTTTTTTTTTTTGAGGGGGTTGGATTTTGCATGAGACTTAACAATTGGTGATTTGGCAACATTTTGGCAAGTAATTTGTCGTTGCCTTCTTCCTAGGGCTGAAAGAAATATTGGGCTAAAGTCATCCAACTGGCCTATTTCCAAGGCAAGACTAAAACTCTGTTCTCTCAATTTTGGGCCTTCAAGCACTATACCGAACTAATTGTATTGTGTATTAGGGAAGAAAATATAGCAAATAACTATCAATAATTACACATAATATCACAAGAACTTTTTAGTATTTTTCATAGGCCAATTATTTCTATCACCTATCAGCACACTGCTTTCTGTGTCATTTGGGAAAGACAAAGACAGTTTATATGGAACAATCTGTTTTTTAGTAAAGTGTCCCCAGATGTATGATGCAGCATCTTTTTTTATCCTTATTTTTTCCAATATATATCACGTAAATCAAATATTTATTTTTTTCAGGCACAATTAGATAAAACCCTTTTGCTTTAAACATAGAAATCTTCCTGAATAGCACATAATCTTTTCCCCTACACTGTTGCCAAAACTGTTTCTTCAAATGATTTTAAATTAGGCTGCATTAATCTGAGGACGATATTGTTTGTAAAAATATTAATATGAACTTTATTGACTAGGCTGGTCTGGCAAACCTATCTGGTTGATACTGACTTTTATGTGCAGGTAATAACTCTTTTTTATAAATTGAAGATTTAGAAAAAAATGTTAAGAGTCAAAAAACAGCACCAGCTGCTGGGGATTATTTCATGCTTTATTTTTTTTAAGGCTCTTTGTGATAAGTCCCAAGTTTAAATGCCAAAATGTGTTATGAATGAATTATTTTAAATGTGTGAAATTCATACTTATTCTCCTGCCTTCTAAATGTCCTCTGTTTTCAGACTTTATTGATGGTTTGTATAAAGTCCGAATTCCTTTAGTCACATAATTTGGAATCTCTTATTTAATCTTAAAAAATAGCCTGAATTATTGTTTTTGAATTTTAATGACAAAGATTATATATTGTACACTATTGTAGGCAAACAGGAATTTTCATTTTTATACAAGTGAGAATATGTTAGTGATATGTTAGTAAGACTGTCCAAAATTTATTCTTTAAATGGAAATTAGTTCCTTGCTTGCTTGCTTTCTGTTTCCATATTAGTAGCCGTAAAAACGTATACTTTAATCACAATTTTTATTTGTTTGTTTATTCTGAGGTCAAAATGTAAACTGAAACTGATTTGAATGTAGACTGTAGCTTTGTCACCTTTTTAAAAAAACATTTTTCTTTGTAAACCTTATGAAACATAAATAAACTCTGCAAATAGGAACTTAATGTTTGTAATAGTTGAATATTTGGCTATTATTAACATTTTTAATTATCTTGTACAGCAATAAAAAAGATCTCATTTACAGTAATAATTGTCTTCAATGCTGTTAATAACATTTCCTAGTTTTCTTCTGTTTCTGTTTTCTACCTATTTACAAGCCTGATTTACATGAGGAAAGGCACAGGCTTGAACCTAAAACTGGGTTATATATTTCCCCAAAATTGATATTACGGTATTTTTGTTTGTTTGTTTTGTTACAGTAATCCATTGAAGAATTCTATTTTTGTTTTTGGAGCATAGTTACATCCCTATAGCTATTTCAAAATTTTATCTAAGCCTGTTAACACCATTGTGTTTAATCGGTATGTAAACCTGATTAAATTTCCTTTTGGGTTTTTTAGGAGGAAGGGATGCTTGAGTAATTAAGCCTCCTTTGCCTTGTATGTAGTGAACTTAAGACAGATTAATTTTAAAAGAAGCCTTTTTAAAACCAAAGAAAAGATGGATTAATAAAACTGCTGCAGTATAAATTTTCAAATTTATGAAATAATTATCAATGATAATTACAGAGAAAAATAGAAAGCCTGTTCACTTTTTACTATTTCAATATTTAGTGGTTTTCCAGATTTAATTTAACCAATATTCAGGCTTCAGTTTTAATTTTGATTTTAGTTATATGTTTCAGGTGTTTTTCTACACTCCTTGTAATCACAACATAAAACAATTTCTTCCTGTTCTCTGGCATGTGGGTGTAATTTATTTTACTCTTTCTCATACATATATTAGAGGTTTTTATACCAGTGATACATTGGCAGTTTATGTAATAAGCAATAATTCATTCAAGAAAAACAATATTTTATACAAACTAAATAACTAACTTTCTTGCAAAAGAAAACTTCTTGAATACAGGTAGACTTTGAGTTATGACTGTAACAGAACCTGTCTGACAATGTTAAATGAACTGCCTCAAGTAATGACCAGCCATGAAACTTAAAAAAAAAAAAGTTGTGCAACAAAATGGAAGATGCCGGGTCTTTGCAAGCTTTAGCTGTCCACATGACTGCCTATAAAGGGCAGTCTATAATCTAGCTTTTAAGTCCTGCCTGAGCTCTACAGCTCAGAATGACAGTAAAGCTTGCAAGGACCCAGCGTTCTCCAACTTTTAGAAATGACTTTTTTTTCCAGCTCAATGGAGAAAGCTGCAGAAATATTTTCTTTCCTTGGTCACTTTGTTCCTCTATTTTTCAGCTGGAGTCAAGGTAAGATTTTTAAAAGAGGTAGAGATTGGAGAGTAGAAAGAGAATTTAGCGGGGAGGGAAGATCAGGAAATCTATCCTTTCCAGCTTTTTCTGTTTTTATATTGAAATGTGGCTTTCAAGGGGAGAGGGGGGGGGTTAAGCAAGGGAAAGGTTTTGAGAACTTCGTCCTGAAGCTGCCTTTCATGCAAAGTCCGGCTTCCAAAGCCAGGAAGAGGCAGGAGAGCTCTGCAGCCTTCTTCTGGCTGGCTGATTTGGGGGGGGGGGCAGCTGATTGGCGCACAAAGCTCTGAAAGTAGCCACTAAGGAATTGTTGGGGCCCTTAAAATAGTGACTGCTTCCAGGAGGCATGGGGATCAGGCCCAAGTGCTGTAGTTCCTGTTAGGGCAGGATGGTGCTAAGGAACCAGGCTCACAATTATGATGTCACAGGGATCTGTAGCCATAAGGTTGCTATGGCAGGTTTTCACAAGCAAAATTAATGGGGAAGCAGTAGGAAAGATTGCAAGTCACTTGAGTAAGTCATCCTGCACATGTGGAGCCTGTGCCATTACCCCCTCATCCTCCAACTCATTTGCAACTTACACTGGGCTTCCTAATCCCTGCCCAGCCTCTCCCAACTCACTGGACCCCCAAGCTCTCTGGGTCTCCCTCAATTCATGCTCGGTTTGTGTTGGACCTCTCAAGACATCCCATCCTCCCCCATCCTCTCGCAGCAGTCCTGCATTCGACCTTGTAAGCTCTCCCCTGATCTCCCCCCTTGTGCTTCTTGCCTTGGGACTCCCACCACTTCCTGCATGTCTTGGGGTTATGTCTGCAACTGAGATTGCCATCGCTAAGTGATGCACTCACATGACATAGCCCTTTATGACTGCAGGAAAATCTTAGAGCATGCTGCATGGATGTAGGTAAGCTGGGGGATCTTACTGGAGTGGCTTGCAATCTTCTCTGCCAGCTTTCACATTGACATTGCTTGTGGGAAGCTAGCAAGGAAGGTCACAAATATGATCACATGACATATCATGAGCCAGACATCCGAGTGCTTGCTTGGATTGTAATCACATCACCACAGGGGTACTGAGAGGGCTGGAACTTTGAGGATCATTTGGTAGGTCATAAATTTGATCAGTTGCTGAACAAATGGATATAAGCTGAAGACTTCCTGTATATCCTGTCTTATATTAACAGTAGGTTTGCAGTTTTTCTTTATCCAAACTACTTAAACAAAATTGCTAGGATGATGCATTTAATTCCACAGAACTTGTTTAAAATTAAATATGACAGTAGAGTAGTGTCTTTGTCTCAAACAGCTTCTTCACTGGTACCTGTGACATGATAATGAATTGATAATAATATTCCTTTGTGCCACATTTATGTTTTTAAAGCAGCATGTAGAAAGGACAAGACAATTTCCCTTTTCACAGTTGTAGCAAGGAATTACTCAGCTACCAAAGAATAACGTTATATAGTATATATATCAGTGGTATATTGGCAAAATCCTTGCATTTGATCCCTTTTCTTATTTTCAATGTGTAGTGAATTCTTCTCTCAGCAAATTCTGCATTGGAGAGGAAATGTGATTAAGGAAAGCAAATATGATGTGAAAAATGTACATATTCTTAGTAGTACAGCAAGCCTATCTTCCCTATAACATGTTTGGTCCTATTCAGTATTTTGTAGATCAGAACTTCAGTTTTAATTGCCCAGAGGACAAATCATTTGCAACAGGAACAGCACCAACAGCACAGTGCTTTACATGGATTCTTTTTTCGATACTTAGCTGCCAGCCTGAACTTTTCTGTTGATATTTGGACATAATCCTGAGTATTAATGATTTCCATTTCAATGCTGTTGATCATTTCACCTTGTTCGGCTACCAAAAGTGATATTTGAAAAAAAAGGCCTCTTAAGTCTTTCACTTGATTTTCCAGATTGACCAGTTCTCGATGTCTTTGTTCAATTTCAGATAATTGGGCTTTAGTAATCTTGACCTCTGTGAGCAGATTTTCATTGAAGATTTCCCATTTCCCTTGTTCAACCATATTATTTAGTTCTTCCTCTGATACTTCTTTTCCTGCCACTTCCAGCTGACGCATAATGAAATCCTTACATTTTTCTTGTTTGTTTGTTATGGCATTATTGTACATAATCATTATATTTTGGAAACGATGGAATAGGGCTGCACACTGAGAACTGAGGACTCTTCTAATGGCAGATGATGAGCTATGTTGTTTTTCTTCCCTCTTCACTATTTTGGAAAGATCATCCAAGCCCTTATTAATGTGCTCTGCTTGAACTTTAATTGCTTTTGTATTGCTGCATTCTTTTTTAAGCACACTGAATCTTCTCATGGAAGCCATCAAACTTTTCTGCTGCCGACTAAACTTTTCAACATCCATTGCCAAACGATTAATATCATTATGAAGTTGTTGTATTTCATGCAAGTACCTTTCAGTTATGGGCTCCTTTTCAAAAATAACAGCTGCTTGTTCAAATTCTCCATGGTCCTCTCTAATAGCATTAACAACACGGTTGTTTTCTTCAAATAATTGTAGTTCCTTTGCTCTCAGTTTAAGCTCTTGAAGGCGGTCTTTCATCTTCTGATGAATATATTAAGGTTCAGAAGTATTAAACCCAAGTCAGCAGTGTATACCTAAGAATTAAAATCACTTTCATTAGCATTTATTAATCCACAATCATATTAGAAGCATAGCAGAAACTGTTGTAAAGAAAAGTTGCAAAAATTTGTCACATGGTGTAGCAGACAATTTCTTGTAGACTCTTTGTATCCATTTTAGAAAGTTGTTTCGAAAGCTATAGGGAAACTGAAATACACAGTATTTTTCACATCTTAATATTGATACATTATTGTTTCCCCGCATTTTATCCTTTTTTTGGCAAATTAAAATGATCAATATATAAACTAGTATTTTAATACACCTATATTAGAGCTATACAGTTTTTCAGTATGGGTGAGGTTGCAAATGTTCTTATTTACAGCTTCTTAAAACGGATGTACTTTTTATTGGAATCAAGCATTTGTCTGCTGTTGCAGGTCAGTTTGTTATTGGAAACAGATGCTATGCTTGTGTTCCTAGCACCTTTTTGATTTTTAATCTAAAGAGCTGAAAAGCTCTAATATCTCTTCCATACATTCTAGAAATAAGGCCAAATACTTCTTTCCTGAAAGAGGTATAGGTTGTCCCTTTGTCTAGCCCTGTGTTGCTCCAGTACAAATGCTCTGCAAAACCTTGGCACTTCTTCTTTTTCCCCATGACTGCAGTGTGAATGTACTTTGAATAAAATAAGATTCAGTAGCATATTATTTTTAGTAAGATATGATCATTGAGAAAAATGAAGCAATTTAAAAATAAGTGGTAGATTAAAATGCAGATAAAATGATAAGTTTCAGGAGGAGCTCATGATAAAGATTGTAGCCACATCACCATCTTATTATAAGGCCTTTCTGATTTTATCATTTCATCATTCTTTTCTTTTTATTTTCAATCCTCTCCCTCCTCTCCCCCCTCCGCCCACTACCACCACCATGGTTGGTAATCATATGGATAATACAACACTATCCCTTGGTACATTAATAGAAACTGTTGAGCATCATAGATGACCAGATTTGAAGAGCTGAGCCTTCATTCATGCCAAATTATTTTTCAAATAACTATAGTAGTTTTGCATCTCTTAAGCTGTGAGTGGTTCCCTATGGGAGAAATAAGCTGATCAAGGCAAGGAAAGGAATGAATGCTTGCAGGAACAGACATTGAATTCTCTTTCTTTTGGTTGCTTGTAAAATATTAGCCTATGTACTTCCTAAATGCCTTTACTTGGAATTAATGATCCTTATTCTTCCACTGTCAGAGTATCCTTATATTCAACTTCAAATTACTTCCAAAAGTTGTCCAAAACACTTAGCATTAGTGGCACTTTATACATCATTTTGAATAAAGACAATGTATTTGGGGAGATGTTCCTTATAAAAAATATATCACACTTCCTTCAACTACCACTTCATCTTCAGAATTGGAAAATATCTTTGCTTTAATTATAGTATTGTATGATTTTTTCCTCTTCTTAAGATATTACCAGTCTGTATGCACTAGTTACAAATCTATGTTATAACATTTCTTGTTGAGAATAAGGTGCAAACAAGCAATGTTTTCTCCCTGTGATAGGAGACTGGCAAATTATGCACACCTGTGGAATCAAAAACACAGATGCATAGTTCTTACAAACACAAATCTAAAGCTACAGTAAAGAATTCATCAGATTTCCTTTCAGCCAATTCACTCAGTTTCTGTCAGAAAGAAAAATAGCAGTTACTCCTCTGGGGCGTAGAATATTTCTTGAAGATTCAGGAGTTTGATCCCGTGACATCAAGAAGTATTTAAGTTCTTATTTTGTTTTAATACCTCCAGAGCACAAGCATTGGTTGGCCAATGTAAACTTAAAGTGAATCAACTGGTATGTAAAGTATTCAAATTTATGTCACAGAATGAAATGCAAAAGAAGTCACCGGAGGTGTACTTAAATATCTCAATTGTCTTGGCTTACAAAAACATCCAGTACAAGGTTCCCACTCATATTTTAATTAGTCTTGACAAGATTCATTTAGATGATGGTAGCCATAAAGGCCCACTGCAAATGGGTTCATGTCTGTTTGCTCTCCCTTCCACTAAAGGAAGAAAAAATGCAGTCAGTACTCCCAAACTGTCAAAAACTTAGTTTCCCAGTCAGCAGAGAAAATAAATGGTTGACTCAATTGTGCAGGTAGCAATACTGGAACACTTTTTGGGATAGAAAGAAAGGACAGATGTCCTTACTGAAAGAGTAAAGTGAAACCTGCAGAAATTAATTAGTCCAATTATGCAGTTGTCATGGATCCAACAGATAGAGCCAAATAAATCAGAACTCTGAGGCTAGAGGCTTCCTCAAAGAACATGTTTATTGGATACAAAATATTGGCACGGCCAAAAGTGAAACCAAATCTAAAATTCCTTCCAAAGAGTTACACTATTACAAAGTCAAACTTCCCACCCCAATACTATGCAATTAGCTACATTTCCAAATACCATATATGCCGGCATATAAGGCGACTTCTGCGAGCGCTGAAATCGGCTCCAAAGACAGGGGTCGTCTTATACGCCGAGTCGTCTTATACGCCGGAAATACTGGTAGTTTCCGGCGTATAAGACGACGTTCTAGGAATGTGGCTCGGCGATAAAGATGGGGGTCGTCTTATACGCCGGGTCACCTTGTATGCCGGCATATACAGTAGAATTTCCAACCCATTAGAATAACCAACAGAATGTCCTTGGTTCCCACAGGACACAGAATTGTTTAGGCTAGCAAAAACCCTCCACACCCCTCCCCATTTGTGTGGCAACCTAGAACGAGCAAGATGGCTGCAGCCAGGTTCGTTGTAGAGTTGACAGCTGTCACCTGGGAGTATCAATCCAGGAAAGACTTTGATATCACACGCTTAAACATTATTGTTTAAACATCTGCAGAACATGTCCCCCACAATAGATACCATTGCCTCCCTAGAAGCATTTCCAAAAAATACCTTCTCTTTCCCAATGGAAGTCAGTTGTTATCTCAAATGGTACGTCTACACACCACAGGTTGGCAACCTGCGGCTCCGGAGCCGCATGCGGCTCTTTGAGCCTTCCCCTGTGGCTCCCAGCCGCCTTTGCAGAGAGAGACAGAGAGAGGCAATTGCACTTCCCTGCTTCTCTCTCTCTCTCTCTCTCTCTCTCTCTCTCTCTCTCTCTCTCTCTCTGTGTGTGTGTGTGTGTGTGTTTGTGTGTGTGTGTGTGTGTGTAAAAGAGAGTGCACTCACAGCGTTCTCCGAGGAGCTGAAAAGCTTACTGGGCAGAGCTCCTTCCTTTTCTGCGTTTCTGCAGGAAGCAGGAAGGGCAGGAGAGAGCTAGCTAGCCCAGTTAGGCTGACTCAGGAATTCTGGGAGTTGAAGTCCACGAGTCATAAAAGAGATGAGGTTGCTTACCCCTGAGCTTGTTGGACAACAGCTTGAAGCTTGCCAGGTGAGCAGCAGATAGGAGGGGGGGGAGAGAGAGAGAGGGAGAGAAAGAGAGAGCAAGAGGGAGGGAGGGAGGGAGGGAGAGAGAGAGAGAGAGAAAGAGAGTGAGGGAAGAGGAGTGGCAGACCAAGGGCAGATAGGGAGAGAGAGAGAGACAGAGAGAGAGACCCTTTTGACATCTAAAATTAAGATAACACTGCATATATCCTTTTTTTAACCTCTGTGTGTATGTAATTTTATTCTCTTAAAGCATTCTCTTGGTGATCATTGTTTTAATAGTATGGATATTCCCAAGAGTCATATTTTTACTTTTATTTTTAATGTGTGTATACACACACACACACACACATACACACACAAACACACCTATAATAAAGGTAAAAAAGGATATATGCAGTGTTATCTTCATTTTAGATATCAAAAGGGTTTTGCGGCTCCCGGTGTTTTGTTTTTGGTGGGAAACGGGTCCAAGTGGCTCTTTGAGTGTTTTGGGTTGTCTACCCCTGGTCTACACTATATCAAAGGGCAAACTTAAAAGATGCTCAGCACCAGTTCCAGGTCACCAGTGACAGTGGCTTGGAGAGTACACTACTGGAGCAAAGTGTATTTGAGTGTTCAGAGATCCAACAGTACAAAATCCAAAATAATGTCTTACCGATTGTCTTTGTTTAGCAATCACAGTTGTGACCAGCAACTCAGTCATTAAGAGAAATGATTGCTAAGTAAAAATAATGTGATTGCAACTGTGCTTACAATTTTATTTCAGTTTCCTTTGCTTTACAGCATCAGAAAAATATGACTCCAAAACTCTGGGTAAATCCAAACAGTGGGGAGGCTTTCCAAAACTCTTGAGGAAGCATGATAAAAGTGCAAATATTGTAGCTCTTTTTTCCCCACTTCTCCACTCTTGGTATGCTCCCCCAATGCTGAAATAGTTAGCAAGAAGAGAATTGATGTTTTCATTTATGTTCATTGGAGACGAAGGAAGTAAGCAGATATACATTGTGAAGAAAGAGCTACCCCAGCTGTTTTCCTATTGCAGTTGTGAGGCAAACAACTGTATGTTTGCATGTAATTGATTAAGGTCTTGTCAATTTCAAGCAGCAGATGCCAGCCTGAAGAGGGTTCTAATCAACTCATTTGAGCTTGTTACATTGCAGTTAGCACTTTTATGGATATATTCTGGAGAAAAGCAGCTTAGGAAGAGATAGCTTTTGTAAGCAATGTCCCTAGTCTGGGAGTGTGGGGTGGATGGGGAAGGAAAAATGCATGTGGTAAAAGGTACTAAGTGTATGTAGCGGTGAACACATACACACACACGCACACGGACGCACACACACACGCTATGAGGGTTGTAAATGTGGACATTGGTTACAAAATAACTACTTCATCACTATTGTGACAGCAAATGGTCCCTGTCCTAAATGAGGACTATCTTTATAACTTTCTCTCTCTCTCTCTGTCTCACACACACACACACCATTATCAAACTTTAGCATTGGTATAAGGAATCAACAGTTTTTTTGGGGTAAGATGGCAAAAAATAATTAACAAGCTATCAACATCTTAAATCCTCTTCAAACTCCCTATTTTTAGGGAATCTATTTTTTTCTGTGCTATTTCGTCCTTACTTAGTTTAAAGGTACTATTCTTTTAAAAATATATCTTTTTATTTAATATTGCTTTGTAATGAAGGAACAAATTATAAATGCTTTTTTGTTTTTTGTGTTTTTGCCATTTAAAAAAAATGATCTATAATTCCTTGAAAAGTGTTTTTTGTAATTCTGTATAGTCCTTTCTGGAATAATACAGCTTATTTTTCTTTTTGCTTACATAATCATTGCTTCTAAGTAGTATATACAGTGGATCAGAAATGTTCAAGTAATTTGGACCAAAAATTACCTTGGCCGTTGAATGACTTAGAGGGGTCTGAATGTCCAAACAATAAAAAGAGAAAATAGAGGTGGAACACTAAATTTTATTTAAGGCTCTCCATAATTTTTGTTTACTGTCACATTAAATTAGAATTTATAATTTAATCTGCTTTTCATGTAAAAAAATCAATACAATTTTGCAGCAACTTCTAGAGGGACTGTGATTTCTAGAGCTGAGTCTTTTTGAGTATCTCGCGTTACCCTTAAATTATGTCCTCTAAAATAAGAGAAAAATATCCAGGGATGTTCTTCCTGAGTTAACCCAAATATTGTTCTTTCCACAACTTTTTATTTAGAACAGGGGTTCTCAACCTTGGCAACTTTAAGACTTGTGGACTTCAACTCCAAAAACTGGATGAGGAATTCTGGGAGTTGAAGTCCACAAGTCTTAAAGTTGCCAAGGTTGAGAACCCCTGATTTAGAAAGTCCTTGTTGATGTTTATTACTGTACTATATGTGATCCTAATAATACAAGGTGGAGTTAATTAACGCTCCCAGGGAAAGACAGCATGGTTAAGAATGAGGTGGAGTTATTGTATACAGTGGCTTACAATGAAACTAGAACAATCTAGATCAATCTGCAACAACAAACATGAGTTTTGAGTACTATATCACTGCTATATCAACATAGATGTATGACTTATGCTAATGCTACTGGGAACAAGAAAGTAAGAGTCCTTCAAGAAGTAGAATTGTAGTGTGATATTTATTGACCAGTATTAAAAATCTGTGAATTCCCATCCCCAGGGTTGGAGAGGTGGCTTCTCTACAAATATGTTGTCTGCTGCAAAGGAGAAGTAATAATGCATTGCACTATATTTATATAGCAGCATGCTGATAAAAATATACCTTAACAGAAAAATAATATTGCTTCTTTTAATAAATTTTGTTCAAATAATATACATAATTCAAAATTATGGAGGTCCTAAATTAAATCTGCATGCTAACACTGTTAGTATCCTTTGTTATAGCTGAACTGAACTGTTGAGTTTCTATATTCAGTATTTTCATGCACAGCAGATGATGTCATTGCTAGCAATGTACACATACACTCCCATTCTCATAATTCTTGTAATAAAAATGCTGAAGTTTCTCAACTGCCTGTTTAGACATTGTCTTAGTAAATCCTTAGTAAAGGGTTTTTCCTTTTCAAATATGTACAATAAACATGTTACCATTCCCAAACCAAAACATGATTTAGAAGTGTGTGTACACACACACAAACACACATTTAGTGTTGTATGTGATGTAGTTAACCTCACAATATGGTCTCTCTGTGGTCTCTGAGAATATCAGTCAATCCATTGTTCACACCACAACTTCAGTAACCCTTCAGTTTTAAAAAGGAAACTTTGTGCGAAGGAAGAATTTGGTATGCTTTCAAAAGAAACTACATTTAAAGCATTAAATACTTTTAACAAATTAACATTTCTATATTAAAGCAATAAATTTCTAGAAACATATACAACAGAAATAATGTTACATTTAGCAGAGGGCAAACACTATTTTAAATATTAAATATTACATTTTCCTAATTTAAATTATTTGGTATATGATAAACACCATACACTTACCTTCTTCCCTTTAAAAAATCCTGTTGTTCAGTATCGTTTTGTACTTAAGGATATGACCCTTGCATTATCCATGTGTGCATACATAATAGATCTGGAATGTGATTCCCGTTTTAAAAGTTTCTGCTTGCTTAATCTTTCTAGAACTTAATTACTTAGGAAGTGTGCCTTGAAAAACCATGGATTGTAAGAGTCTTAGTTGGTTATATTGCACTGTAGTAGAAAAGCAAATTAGTTACTTTACTCCTAGAGAATCTGGTTCTGCCTGTTAGAGATACTGTACTACCTTACTTTCAAGGCAGGCCCTTTTATTCTAATGAGCCAATACCAGGAAGTGTTTTGTCTAGCTCTCTCCTTACTGTAATTTCTAGCTTAAAGTAAAAATACCTGTTGCTTAATGCTATTGCTTTCCTAAAAATGAAGTCCCTGAACATCAAATACTTATAATGAACACAAGGAAAACATTGAGGAAGGGGAGAATGTATTACCACAAGTTTGTTTGTGTTTTAGTAATGTTTTATTAATAATTGCTATTTTTTACTTAGCTTTGTATTTTTATTCTTTTGCTATTTGGATGTACACTATCAAAGCTTAAGCAAATATAAAAGTTTTTTTAAATAAAAGGAATATATTGTTAACAAAGAAAAACATATTTGAAATTATTGCTGAGATTTGAAGAGAATTATGGACTTTTCTTAAATGGTCTATGTGCAAACTGAGTTTTACTCATTTTGCTATCTGTTTGTACTTTCAGATTATTATTATATAGCTGAACCAATCCATGACAACTGAAATGCTGTGATGTAGAGAATGTAGTACAGCACATCATTTTATTCATTTATTCAATATATAAAGTGGTGGTAGAAGGGAAAACAATTATATGATGTTGAATTCCATATATTCCATTATTGTATCATTATTAAAATTAATGAGGAAATAAACAGTTGTGAAAACAGTTGCAGATAGTGTTTTGTAATGAAGTGGACAGCTTTAGGTTTTTGTTCTCTTTCTTTCTCTCTCAAATACTTCTTTGACATTAAGCTCTCTGAATAATCTGGACTTGTACTCTCATCCCAATACACTTCATAGAGTAATTATAAAGATCAGTTGGGGGAAGAACAGTACATACTGTACTAAGCTCCTTAGATAAAGAACAATTAAACTTGCATTTAAACAATTATTAAAATTTTATTACAATCAATTGAAAAGACATGAAATAACTACTTGTGTGATTCTGGTATAATAGTTGCCTGATGCCAAAATAGGTAAATTTGCAAACTTACATTTAAGGAAAAAATTACAGAGAAGCTGATGTCTTCTGTTTTATATATCTCTTAATATAATTTCGCTTTTTTTGTGCAATGCTTCTTGGTAATCGACATCATAGTATTCTCCGTTTGTAGTCCAACATATTTAGAAAAAAGCACTGAGCTGGGGAAAGCTATTTTAGAGCAATTTAACAAAATAAGTAAAGTACAAAGAGAGCACTTTCTTTTTACTAAGCATGCTCTTGGTTCTAAATCAAATGTTTTAATGCAGATCTTGTCAGTACTATTTATCTAGACCAGGCATGTCAAACTCGTGATGTCACATGACATTGCATGATGTATCGCGACTTTCCCTATTGCCAGTAATGGGATGAGAGCGGTTTCAGCTTGACGCATCTGGCCCGTGGGCCTGCAGTTTGACATGGCTGATCTAGACATTTGTAACCTACACTGAAAAAAATCATAACAAGTACAAGTAGGGAAGAATGTTGCCTAAATATGCTGGTTTGTAGTTCATTTCCAAGGAATGGAAATATTGTTCTAACAATTTTAATAACTTTGCTGTGACTAATGAAAATTTATATTTTTCCTTAGAAGAACAAAAATAGGAAGATCAATCTTATCAACTACATTGTACATAGGCTTTTCTATCTGATTATTTTAAATCCTGGGATTTTGCCAACCTGTCTGTAAATAAGGGCAGCTCTGAACTTTATCATATAGGTAGATCATAAACTTGGAAATGTCTATCCGTTACCAGAACAAGACATTTTCTAAACTTACAGCTGCTTCTAAGAATAGTTTGCAAGTTTCAAACTTGCAAATTTAAAACTTGCAAGAACAATATTTTTTCTTTGTAATTTAACTTTTGATTTCATAATACTTTTACTGTGACCTTAGTTGTGTATGAAGGAAGATGTACAGTACACAAACACTTCTACCACAATCTTATTTTGAAGTAAACCCAGTGAAACTTTCTGCCATAAAAAGCTCATAGGGTTGCTTTCTTACAACATAACATTATAAGCCAGGCATGTCAAACTGCTGGCCCACGGACTGGATGTGTCACGCCGAAACCACACCCACCCGATTGCCAGCAATGGGAAAAAAGTCCCGATAGATCGTGCAATGTCACATGACATCACGAGTTTGACATGCCTGTTGTAAGCCTATTATCATATGATCATCAGAGTCAGACTTAGGCATTTTTACATAAATTTCACTTTTCAATATGATTCCAACGTATTTGCTTTTCAGAGAATTAGTCTAAAAAGGGCAGCATTTTAAGGCAGTGTAGATTCTAGAAAGGACAAGCATAATAGGAAAATAATGCTTTAACTGCCTCTACAGAAAATTATTTGAGTTTAGTTCACCCAGGATGTGTTTGATCAAGATATAGGCTTTCTGACATTTAAGAGAAGTGAGAAAATAAATTAGCGAGAAAATAAATTAGCGATTTGTATTTATTCCACTAAGAAGAAACTATTAATAAATAGGCAACAGCAATATTTATGTTTGGCTATAGCAGGGGTTCTCAACCTTGGCAACTTTAAGACTTGTGGACTTCAACTCCCAGAATTCCTCAGCCAATCTTAAAGTTGCCAAGGTTGGGAACCCCTGGGCTATAGAAAAATGTTTTGTGTGTGTCCTGTTATTTGTATAGATTCTGCTTATCCATATTGATTTGCATTGATTTTTAACCATAGTAGGTAGCATTTCCATATGTTTTATTTGATCTTTTTTCCCCTTAGATTAGCAAATAAACAAGACAAAGAAGGTGCCTTGGCAGAAGCAGATGTTATTGAATATTTATCTCTTGAAAAGCTTGTCAATGAGCACAAATGCTTCTGTCAGATTGTAAGTGCATTTTAAATAAGATTAACTTTCTTAGATATGTTGCTTGGCAAAATTTTGAAATAAAATTATGCAATTCTATCACTTTATTTTTCTCTATATCATATGTCTTTTTATGTCTGATTAGTGGTAGCCATGAGAAAGATGATTTGGTTGCTTATTACCTGGATGATAAGCAAATTTCAGAATGTCATTTCTCAGAAAAGTGCTTAATGGGATATCAGTCTCTATAATATCAGCTTACTTTTTTTAAAGCATTGAATTTTCTGATGAAGCCTAATATTCAGGTACTACTATCTATTGTTGGTTCATAAACAGGGAAGATTAATCAGTTCAGCCTTTTTAAAATTGTTTGGTCTGTTATGGAGCCACAACTTCCTATAAAGTTATCAAAAAAATTGCATGGACCTGTCATCAGAAACTAAGATTGATTTGAAAGTCCATAACAACAGCAGCAACAACATGCTATGGAAATACACGTTTCTGTTATATTTTCTTTCATTGACTAATAAAATGAAGAACTATCACATTGACTGGGAAAGGAAGATCTTTCTTGACTGATACACCAACATTCTCCATATGAATGTTTCCTTCCCCATATGAATGTTTTCTGTAAGCATCAAGTGTCATTTCACTTGTGTTGAAATCATAGTGTAGAGCTGCCAGGCACAACTGAATGTACCAGTGCAAGCCCTCCCAAATATCCTTTGAACCTATGATAGGCTTGTCTTAAGCTCTTCTTTCCATATGGTATTCTTGAGAGATACAGATGTCAAATATATTGTCCCCTCAGTAGTGGTGCATTAGATTGATAGAATACAATTGCATTAATTCTTCTGTTTTTAACATTATAGTAATAATTATAAGCTAGAATTTCTGAAAATGGAGCAGGGTTTCTGAAAATAGAGCAGCATATACATTGAAGTATTAACTTCAGCTGTTTCAACAGTTGAAATAGCTAATTTTTGAATGAATGAAATAATAATTAACAAATAAATTACAAATTGTGCTTAGTTTCAAATGTATATTACAGATTTGGGATTTGCAGATACATCCAGGTTAATAAATGATAATGTAATTTGTTCTTGTTTCAGTTTATTTATGTAACATAAAATATTCATTTCAGTTCTAAATATGCTTTTTATTCACTTAGATTAATACTAAAACTAAATGAGTTATGGTGACAGAAAGAATGCTGCTAAAAAACAAGGAAAAATCAGAATTCTCAAAAATATACTTAAGATTTTCTGTTTTTATTATTGTAAAGTACCATCATGGTACTTTTGTTGAATCTGGAAGTAATGAAACACAATAGACAAAGCTTTATGGATTTCTTTTTTTAAAAAAATGAAGGGATAGGGAGGCCTATGGAGATAAAAAGTAGATACTCTAGTTAGTTTAGTGGACACAGGATGCTAAATATCTGCAGAAGTAGACCAAGAAGGAATAGAATGAAATAATCAAAAGGAAGATTCTAAATTATTGTAGAAACAAAATAGAATGTAGAACTGCAGAATGTAATGTTTTGTGGCAGAACATTTGTTTCATTCTTGGAAAATTAAATCTTGATTTAACTGTTCTTGTCTTAAAAAGTTAGAATTTCAAGACAAGAAATTCTTGTGGGAGTTTATTGAAAGCAGCAACAGTTTTTGAAAAGTAATTTTCAGAACATATAGGCAAATTTGAATCTACATGCCTTTGGAAAGCTATGTTAATACATAGCGAGTGATATGGAATAATTGGATGGGTCAAAATATGAACAAGTTATCATTGTCATTTTCAGAAATTTTCAGTGAGTTCATAACTTATTGTTCAATTTCATATTAATATAAGGGTAGTGCTGATTTTTCCATTGGTTATAGGAGCCTTGTTCTGCTATTGTGGGCTATGGAAGAAAAATTGACAAATCGATAAAGAAAGGTTTACTTTGGCTATTACACACTATAGCAAAAGATTTTGATGCCTTACATGAAAGAATTCAGAAAGACATCACAGAACAAAAAGCAATTGAAGAACAAGAGAAAAGAGAACGAGCAGAAAGAGTGAGGAAGATAAGGAAAGAAAGGTAGGTAGAGTAAATCATTTTTAATTTACATGAAACATTTTATAGCACATTACAGATTGGATTTCAAGTTACTGTACAGCAAAGACAATATGACAGATCTAAAATGTAATACACTCAGTAATTGGGTTTTCATATTAGACATGATATGACATAGTGAAAGGTGTTAATAGTAATCATCTACTAAGAATGACATTTCCATTCTGACCATTGTTTATTCAAGGCAAGCAATAAGGTCCAGAATCATACCTGGTGCTCATCAGCTTTGTTGAACCCTAACACAGTTTTGTCATTGGCTAGAAATTATGGGCTTTAACACCATACTTTGTGGATGCCTGGTTGGGGAAAGTTAGTTTAGATACTCTGAAGGATTTATAAAAGTGGGTACTTCAGATTGGTAGAACAAAAAAATGCATTTTTCCTACAGTACAGCTACTGTGGTTAATCTTCATTAATATTTTCTCATTTCATGCTAACTTTGAGGAATTTGTCCCAGATTCTGAGAGAGAATGCAGAATTTGTCATAACTGGATATTAATTTGAATTATAGCCCAAAAAGAAAGCAACTTCCCATCTATACGTTCAGCTTTTGATGGAAATATTTAGTTACAAATGTTCGTTTTTAACAATTTAATACATGTGTTAACGTTCAGATGGAGTTAAAAAAAGGCTACATCTGCCACTTCTAGCAAGAAGGAAAACTTAATACTTCTTTCTAGCCAGTGGATAGAATTCTGGTTCCCCCCCCCATTCTTTAGCTTTGTCTTTTAAGAGGAATAATGACTTTCTTTATGCTTAAAAGCTAAGAATAACCAATAAAATGTAAAACATAAAAATGGGGATATATAATTGGAGAGGCTGCAAAAGAAGTATGAAATTATATAGGTGACTCTAGCATCTATCATCATCTTCTTACTGTGCCAAAACTAACTGAATGGTATTAGAGTCAGCCTGATATGGACCAGGCCAAGCTAGGGATACTTTAGCAGCTTCTCCTTTTCCAACAAACATGGCCAACTGTGATGATCATCTGGACCTCTGAAAATAGAAAGCAAAGGGAAAAAAATAAATAACCATTAGTATCAAATCACACAAAGAAAAGGAAAGAAGGGTCAAATATAAAAGAAAGGAATTTGAATTTGAATCATAGCAATGGCAGACAGACTTGACAACAATCAGCACCATCGGTAGTCCTCTGACAGCTAGGATATATAGAGGCTGGTAAAAGCATGGTAGTGCTCAAATCCTCCAACTGCAGACCAAGGCCAAGTACATCAAATCTGCCCATTGCTAGAATGGTGGTAAGAGAACAAAATGAAATCAGATTTGGCAATATGTGAGAAGAGGCATGTTCCATAACAAAGGAGTAAATAGGACATGAATCATAACAGTGTTTTTCAGCTCTAACCAAACAAGAACAGATAAAATGACTTAAAATCTCAGAATGGGAAATTGGACTAGTTTTATTATTGAGATAAATGGAAACTGATAGGGATTTCTTAGTGACTCTTCACTATGTTTAAGTTTTCTTTTAGCTAACTAGAAAAGTACTGAGGTATGCTTTTAGCCAGCATACCACATTATGGGGGAAATAGTATATATCTTATTCCTGAAAAGAACACTCACTAACTTAAAAATCTGTAATTATTTATTTACTTTACATTTACAATATATGTAGAACTGGTAATTCCTTGGTATTTCCATCTTTTCAGTTATACAGAAATTCATATAATAAATTTTTTAAAAATACAAATTCATGTCAAACAATCAGGCAAATAATGCATATTTTTATTATCTTGGTATAGGAAATATATAATTATTTCTTTCTGTTGAATTGGGTTTTGATTTTAACCCTTTGCTTTAAAGGCAGAAGATATACTTCAGTAAATTAATGAAAGCTAGGTTATTCTAATAGAAGAATTATAAACAAGTTTTCACATTGATTGTATGACTTCAGATCAGTTTTTTCAACTTCACATCCATCTTTTAAAAGTTCATCAATCACACTTTACTGCATTTTGATATAAAGCCTGTGAACTGTTTTCAATATTTGTAATATTCTAAGAATTTTTAATTTTAGTTGATTCAAAATATGTATCTTTTTTTCTTAAAAATAATCAGAGAACAGAAAGAGAGAGAAGAAAATGAACGGGAAGGAAAGAGCACTTTGGATGAAGAAGACTCTGAGCTTGTAACTGGAAACCCATTTCAGCCCATATCAGCTGTAATCAATCAGGTATTGAAGCAGCCACCTGTGGAAAATGTTTGTGACAAATCAATTCATTGTTCATGAGTGCTTTAGCCAATATTGTGGTTTTGAAACAAATTCAAATTCCTTTCTTTTATATTTGATCCCCTTTTTCCTTTTCTTTGTATGATTTGATACTAGTGATTATTTTTTTTCCTTTGCTTTCTATTTTATTTTTTTGTTCCTCTTATTTAGATCTTTGTTATTAATAACTGCTATGTTTGCTTTCCTACTAGCTCCTTTTGCTTGCTTGATAACTAATTATGACATATTGGGACATTTGAACCCATTGCTTACATAATAGAGTATTTAGATACATCTATATCAAAATTTATTTTGAGATACTTTTTAGTTTTTATATAGCTATAACTAAAGTAACTTGTATTTTTCCCAAACACATGAGAACGTCTATTCCTTCTCCGGGAATGCTTCATGTAAGATAAGGCTGCACTAATGTTAGGTTGCTACTTGTATCTTTGGTCTCTCATGTGTTTTGGAAAAATGCAAGGGATTGATTTCACTCACCTATACTAGAACTGTTCCTTCTACCTTTGATAGGTTGTTGAGATTAAGAGGCATTAAACTTTTTTGACCTTCTCTTGTACGGATACAGGCCATACACTTTGCCAGATGTGTAATCCTTTTAAATTTCAATCTTGGCTTTCTGCTGTCTTTTCTAGTACTGGCCTCCTCTAATTGTTTTCTCTGTAATATTTTAAGCTTCCTCTAATTTTGGGCTTCTTGTTTCCATGGCTTGTTTTGAACAACTACCTAGTTTTTCTATGCCTTCTTACTCCTGTAGGTGGCCAAATAATCCTCAGTCTTTTCTGCTGCTTAATTACTTGTCGATAGGTGGTATTTTTATATGGCTTGAATAGGACTCCATATTGCATATTGAATATGCATAGCTAATGCACATATTCAATATGCATATTTTGTTACATTGTATCAGTGTAATATTGTAACTTTTGCTTTATTACAATCTGTTATGGTAAACTTGAGTAAGTTCTTTGGACTTTTCCAATAAAGCTGGTTGCTAACCCAACTGCCAATTCCTGCTTGGGCTTTCTAAATGTTGTTCTGTATCATATATTCCTAAAACTCGTCTATGTTTTTCCTTTTGTTAATTTGGGGATTTTAATATTTTGAGGCCTTTATTGTGAGACGAGGAAGAAGATCTTATTCCCATTCCTGGAGTAGTTATAGCCATAATTATGTACCACTATTATTTCTTTCAGTTACCCCAAATGAATCTTCTTTTCTGATCATTTTTTTGTCCAGTCTGTCTTGTCTAATTTTTTGTCTAATTTCTGTCCTTTTCTTGGTTCTTTGGCATAACTTAAATACTTTTTTCCCCAAGAATTTTATTCCTCTCATAACAGGATTCGCACCACTCTCAGTGCCTTCGTATTTTCAGTGGTTTCTTGTTTCTTTGCTACTACCAGATATGAACAGATGTGTATGGACCCAGATACTATTAAGGCAAGATTAATTACATAACAAATTTTTGTGTGGCAGGGCCAATTTTAAAAAAATTATTTCATTAAATTACTTTTGTTTTACATTAACGGCTGCCTACTGTATCCATTGCCACCACCATATGTTGTGGTGTGGAAAAGGATAAAATAGTTCTGAACAATGCAGAGAACTGGAAGCCAAATAAAGTATATTCTATATTATAATACAAGGAGTAATACAGTGAGTAATTTATTTGGTTAGTATTCAGTCGCAGTGCCCTTACCTATCCTGTATATGTGCATGTATGAGTTCTTGATTACAAGTCTAAATCAGCAATTTAATATTTATTTATATATCAATCTTAACCTCCATCTCCTTCATTGAGATAAATAAATATGCATTTATTTACAGAGCTGCCTTGAAATTCCTTAATTGCTTTAACTGTTAAAACTTTTTCAGTTGTTTCAATAGATATAGGCAATTTCTAAACCTAATAATGGGTTTTTTTATATTAATTCCTCTTTCTAGATAGCTTAGATAAACTTTTACTTGATATTCTGTCCTTTCTTAAGGATCCCTTTCCTGGAAGCAGAAGACCAAAAAAAAAAAAAAAAAAAAAAAATTTCATAGTTCTAGGATTCTGGTACCTTATTTGCTTCTCTACTCTGCTACAGCTCTTGTGCTGTTTCTCCTGTAAGGATTCTTTCACCCCTGCTGTCCAATTGTTTTATCAACAAATGCACTCCAAATCCTTCCTTCTAGATTCTACTTGCTATTGCTGATGTTTTCTACTGTACATATCTATTCCTTTGTGGATCTCTTCCTTCAATGTCTTTCTTGATGTCTTTGATCTTTTAATTCTTTGCTGACATGAACAACACCTCCAACTGCTTATAAAGAAATACAAAGCAGAATGCCTTTTCCTGCCAATTTTTCTCATATAATGACAATCAGTTTCCTGATTGTCAATAAAGCAAAAAAAATCATAAAAAAGCATCAGTGGATCAATATTTACAAATGATTTGCATTTAATTTGGTACTTTCATTTATGAAAGGATTCCAGATGTTCAAGTTGACTTCAGAAAAAATTGAGGAAAATAAGTCATATTGCTAATTCATGCTGGATAATTGAGAGAATCAAAGAATAATAATAATAAAAAACTATTAGTATACAGTATTTTTCATTGATTATAGAAATGCTTTTGATTGTGTTGATTACTTCAAACTGTGTTTGAATGTGTTTATAAAAATAGGAACACCAGAACATTTTATTTTCCTGATGAAAAATTTATTAAAGGGTCAGAAAGCCATATGGCAAAGCAGATTGGATCCAGGCTGTCAAAGGATGCTTTTCCTTTTTAATAAATCAGTGTATATGCAGAATATATATTAAGGCAAACTGGATTTGAAGAATATGAGTGTATTTTAAAACTGAAGAAACATCAATAGTGATGGCACTATTCTCATAGCTGAAAATACAACTATACATAATATATAATAATTGAACCATCAACAGTAAAGGAGTCAATAGTCAAGAAATATGCCACAGACTAATATTTGGTAGAGTAGAATCAAAAGACTTGGAAAATATATTTAGATGCCAGGATATGCTTATAATACAACAATCAGAATGGTGCAGATATTGGTTTTTTTGTGTGGAAGTTAAAGTTGGACAGAAAGTATTGATGCTTTTCAACTTTAATATTGGGGAAGATTTCTTACAATGTAATAGATAGCCATGAAATCAAACAAATGGATCATTGAAGAGAAGAGTTTCTCATTTAAAGCAAAAATGTTAAGACTTCACACTCCATAAGTGTCCATACTTTGGACACTTGATGCAAAGAGCTAGTTCTCTGGTAAAAGCAAAGACAAAAAGACAGCCAGTAGCAGGGTGTTCAGCAGTGGGGGCAGAACATGGATGAAAGACCTGAAGGATGAAGGACCAGATTAGAGACGGTTCTCTTGGAGAAAATCTATTTACATGATAGTGAAGAGTCAATACAAACTTGATGACACATAATCAATCAAAAGATAGCAATCTTAAAGGATACCAAGTTTTATAATTGATGTCTTTTCAATTAATTTCTTGGAATAATAGTTCAGAATTTGAAAAAAGCTGCCATGGTATCAGAATCAATATAAGTAATTAAAGGCTTAATACTCTCCACAGGGAAAAAAGCTTTTATTTCATTTTTAGATCCATTATCCATTGCAATATATCACTAAAATTGCATAGAAATCCATATGCTGAATTAAGGTCATTGAGAATATTTGCACAGTAAAATTTCAAACACTTGAAATTTAAAGCAATTAAAATGTAGTTATATAAGAAGTTTTCTTAGAAGAGCTGAATATTAATTAGAGGTTCCATTATATGAAATTGAATATTATTTTATATTATTGATTATATATAATCCAGTAGGAAAGGCTAGTATAAGACATAAATATTGATCATAGGCTGGCCAAGATAGTGTGTGTGTGTTTGCACTATTTGCAAATTTATTGTGAAAAAAAAAAGATTTCCTACAATTTGAAAGTGCAGTTTTATAAAAAATCTTGATTTAGTGCCTGATATAAATCCATAATAATGTATAAAATAGTTTGTAAAGTTAATGTACAAAATGTATTTCAGTAATTCTTTTAGAGTATCCTCTGATTGGTTGTTGACATTAACTCCTCCCCAACTAACACTTGAAATGCTGCTATAGTAAATGGCATTTTCTTCTGTATTTTGTTAGAATGAAAAGAAAATTGAAAAAGAGAAGAAGAGGCAAAGGGAAGAGAATGAAAAGATTGCTATTGCCTTGAAACCTAAAACAAATCAGGAGATAATAGATGTTCAGAGTCTGAACAGTGAGCAATCCAACGAACAGAGACTGATAGAAAACTATAAATCTGCACTAACACAGCAAATGGAACACGAAGATGAGAATGATCAGCACATCTCAGAAAGTCTTGACTCTGGTGATAATGCCACTTTGAATCCAGGAACAGGTAGACTGATAGGAATTTGTAAATGCTGCTGCCAGCCAATTTCAAAAGTTCAGTTCAAAGTTTGAGCTTGGAGGGAGAGGAGAATATAGCTGTTAGGCAACCTTTTTAAAACGAACTAGGAAAACCCAATGAACTGCCAAACAATTGATAGATTTATTTTATTAACTGACAAACTTAAATTCCAGTAGTCTATCATGAATATATAGTCTTAACTGAACATTATGTGTACATAATTAAGTAAGAACTGTGTGCTTATTACAAATAAAGTTGTATGCTCTGATTAAAATCTGTCTTTATGTAGGCACAGATGTTTTCTAATTGCAGTTCAAATTTTTTATGTAACATCAGTGGTTTTATTTATATTTGATTTAGAAAACAGTAAAAAGAAAGCAAAGAAACTAAAATTAAAAAGAAACCATCGAGTTGAACCGGTCAATACAGAAGAAATTGTTTCCCCCCTTCCTACTCCAATAGCAACACATACACCAGGTGAGCACAGTGTTTAAAAGTTGAGGTCTTGAACACACATGAACAACACAATTTCACATGAAGTATTTCAAAAGAAAAGATATATATAGTAATTATATGGCACTGTTAAATATTGTGATGAAAAGCCTAACAGATTTTGGGAACATAAAGGAGGCAATGAGAGAATAAAGGAGAGACAAGGGTAATGCAGAAGAAAGTCCAGGGGGAAATAAAAACATAAGAAAGAGATTTAGAGTAACTCTGCCTTAATTATACTACATATAACTTCTGGGGGGAAGTTATTTTTATAAGTTTCATGATTCTGTTATATCACCCAAATCGCAATAAATATCTTTCCAGATTATGGTTCCCAAACTCAGAAAACAAGAACTATTTGAATTTCTGGAAACATATTTATTGCTAATAGAGTATTATTATTATAGAATCTTGAAAGCTTACTAAATTAATTATCACACATAACATACATTGGTAAGGCGGTTTTACTCTGAATCTCTTTCTCATGCTTTCCTCTCTTCCCTGGACTCTCTCTGTTAGAAATGACACTGTTTATTCTTTGCTTTGTTTTGTTGTACCTTCTGGGCTCCCAAGGTCTGTTAAATATTCCATCCCAGAAATTTACATGGCAAGTGAAAAAAAAAGCCCTGGCTATATAAAAAGGAACAATGCCTTATTCCTCAAATGAATTAGAGAGAGAAAAAACAGAACAAAATAAAACTTTTACTTCCATTGGAAACTAAACATATTTTTGTCTCATTTTATTGTTTATTGTTATTTTTTTGGGGGGGAGACCTTTATAGAATATTGTTTTATTTGTTTGTTTATTAAAAGTTATGCCTTTATCTGCATCTGAGGGATAAATTTTCAATTTTATTTATTTATTTATTTATTTATTTATTTATTTATGAGACTTATATACCGCTTTAAGTGCAAGCACTCTCTAAGCGGTGTACACCAGTAAGCAATGTATATATATATTTACATTGCCCCCAACAATCTGGGTCCTCATTTTACCTACCCCGGAAGGATGGAAGGCTGAGTCAACCTTGAGCCAGGGAGATTTGAACCGCTGACCTGCTGAACACAGTCAGCTAAAGTGGCCTGTAGTACTGCACTCTAACTGCTGCGCCACCTTATATTAGAGTCTTAATCCTACGCAAATTAACTTCTTCAATATATCTACCATGCTCATCAGTAATAAAAGTTCTGGTTTTATTAGTAGCTTGAGATTTTCTCCATGTACATAGATGAATATTTGCTTTATCAGAATTGTTGATTATATAATTACTGTTTGATATATGTATATATTTTTGCAGTTGGATGGGAAACACCAAAAGTTAACAGAATTCGAAAACTTGAGCCCCTTGGTGAAACTCATCATAATGGTAATTTCAGAGGAATTTGTCCTTAGCAACATATATTTTATTTTGCATATTGGCTTATTTCTTTCATTTTGACTAATTTGGTGCTTCTTTAAGAACAATCCATAATTTTCACTCCTTGTTTTTCTCTTTAACTATACGTAAATGGAATCTCGTTAATAATTTTATTTCATTGTCTTTGCTTCAGGACAAATCTGTTGCTTATTGAGGTGGTCATGTAGTAATATATTGCTCACAGGGAAAAAATAGAACACATTAAAGTGCATAGGATCATATCCATTCTTAACTATTCACCCAAGGAAGGTCTGCTATGAATTGCTATAAATAGATTTTAAGAAATATCGAAGATCACACATGAAATAGGAGAAAAGTATCTTTCTGAGCAGACAAGTATTCATATAATCTTTATTCTTTCTCTTCTTAACACCTTAAACACAGATTAATCAGTTGCTGAATTTTAAAAGGTTTAGTAGAAGGGGGGGATTTTTATGAGTTAATTAGGCAGAAAGCCACTGTGTGCCTAACTTACTTATGTGAATATATAGAAACTATTTGTAAGTACAAAGAGTTTTTATTATCATACGGTTTTCTAAAAATATAATTTTGATATTAATCTTTTTAATAGCATGTGGAAGGTTTTAATTCTTTTCTAGTAGATTCTGATTTATAGTAACCTCTTCACTGAGGATAAGAGTTATTGTTAATAAGTGTTGTTTCATTTTGAAAGTATTTGTATCATTTTATGTAAATACTTGTAAAACCATTGGAAATGTTTTCTGTTTTGACAAGATAGCATTGTTCAGTGATAGAACATATGTCATATATATGGTTGCTGTTCAACTCCAGAACCTCTAAAATGATCTTGAGCAATAACACTGAAAAAGACTAATGCTTGGCATGCTGGTTTGACCTGCTTCTCAGAGCATGTAATATTAAACTAGATCATGGTTATCCAACTTTCTCTAGCTAAGGGCTATATTTTACCTTTGAATGGAATACCTAAGGCCATACTCCAAAAAAACAAAAGGACACGGTTAGACAAAAACTAAATTTTATTTCATCTATGGTTAAATGCATTTAAAATTAGTTAATTAATTGCAGTTAACATGGTGAGCTCTACATATTTCATTTTTTCCCTTCTTTTGTATTAAAACTTATGAAGTAGCAACTTTTGGAAGAGTTGTAAAATGATAACCAAGATGTTCAAGTTTTGCTTCTCTAGTTTAGAAAGATGTATGGAGAATTTATACATTCATAAAATCTTTATTTTGTACATAAATTTATTTCCTTAGTAATAGACAACAGTATAATTTTCAACAGTTTGTTTACTATCCATATTTCTTTTTAAGGAGTATAAAGAAAAGAAAATGAGAGAAAGGACAGAAAAAAGAGGTAGGGAGGAGAAGGGCCATGTTATCTGATTATAATATTTTTGCTCTTAACTATGGGCCTGATTGTAACTGGAGTTAAAAGTTGTCATTCCTTGTACAATATTTTTCTTAAAAAGTGGCATAGAATTATTAAGTGCTTGCACTTAAAACGGTATATAAGTCTCATAAATAAATAAATAAATAAATAAATAATTCTTATGCAAGAAATACTTCTGATTGCAAGTTGTAAATCAAGTTTCTGAAGCTGTACAGATGAGATATTTCCTATAAGCTTTGATTTTAACTCAAAGAATACAATTGCTTATAATTTTGCACATACTTCTTTCTATTCTTGTATTTCATTGGAATACATGGCAACTTTAATTTGAAATGATGAAAGAGATACATCACTTGAGTACTGTTTATCTGGATTTATTGGGATTATTATATACCACTGATCCTAGTTTAGAAATTAAAGTAAATAATTACTAGAATTTTAGAATCTTAGTTCATAATTGAACTTTTCTATAATTTAGGCCTTTAAAAAAAGGACAAATATTCCCAAAATTGTATTCTTCCTTGTTAAGTATTTTTCTATAGTTTTATAGTTTTCTATAGTTTTATAATTCTTTATGTTGTTTTTAAATAAAATTATATTTAAGTTTAGATCAGCTTTTAAGTGAAGTTGCATTCCTTGACCAGGAGATCAATTTCAGCCATGAATCTTTAGAAAAAGAAGAGGCAGTTGGGAAATTCTGATAAGGCAGGCAAAAGGAACAGGGCAGTTTTCAGGAAACTATAGTGGGGAAACAGCACAATGACCCCTTATCTCCAGAATATTAAATATCAGGGTAAATCTAGCAACAGAATAGGGGGGGGGGCACAATTTCAAATTCTAGAATTATTAGATACAGGTAATCTTCCCTAAAGAACTGCAACTTTATCACTAAGCAGTGTAACATCATGACTGCACCTGACATGACATCAGCTTTGCTGCAGTCATTAAGCAAATCACCCAAGGTTAAATGTGATGTCACATGATTATGATTTGCAACTTACTGCCAGCTCCCGTTAACCTTGTTTGTTAGAAACTGGCTGTGATGGTCACAATGGTTATTTTATGACCATGAGACACTGCAACAATTGTAGATGTATGTCAGTGGCAAAGCATATCAGTTTGACTGCAGATATGGGACAGCCATAAGTTCCAGTCATATGTGTCAGCTGTGAAAAGGCAAAATCATTAGAAAAGAGATTGAAAATAAAATTGAAAACATTGTCATTCCTTTATAGTAATTTGGTCTATTTGCATCTGAAATACTGTGGAGAATTTGGTTGGCACATTTAAAAAAAAGACTATAATATTTTCTGGCAAAAGTGAAGATGATGGCAATCAAAACTACTAGGGTCTTGAACACCTTCTTTATGAGAAAATGTAGAGCATTTTTAGCTTAGAAAAAGTGTAAGTGACAGGAGACTAAGTTAACAGTTGAAGTATATAATAATATCATGCATGGGGTGGAGAAAGCGAAGGGGAGTTTTTCTTCCTTTATTAAAACCCTAAGTCCAGAAATCATACTGTGAACCTGACTGGAAGTTTTAGAAAAAGTACTTCTTACACACAACACATGACAAATTTTTGGAATTCAGTATTACAAATACTGATGGCCAGTAATTTGAGTGGCTTTTAAAGGGAGTGGATTCCAAAATCATGAAGAACAATGCTATCAAGGGCCATTAGCTCTGAAGACTAAAAGTTATCTCTCAGCTGGTGATGCATGCTTTCAAATACAAGTTGCAGAAGAACATCAGCAGGATGATTGAATGTTTCTACCTCCTGCTTCTATGCACTGCAGGAGCATAGGTTGGCCAGATAAACAAAATGCTGGACTAAGAGAATCTTTGGTCTGATTCAGCAGTTCTCTTCTATAAAAATGATCTTTTTGTTTTAGAATATTATTCTTGTAAGGATTTGTAACCAAATTAGTTGTATTATGTAATCCAACTCTTCACTTGAAGTATTTTTGATTTATAGAAAATATATAGGAAATATTCTATTAATACCATACAAAATAAATAAATAATATCTTGCAACAGATTGAAATTTCATAGGTTTTCCCTTTGTAGAGTTTAAACAGTATTAACAGATAACATTAATTATCCATTTACATCTGGAGAGGAAGAAGTTTTGATAAATTAAAGCAAAATATGTTTCAATAGATAAGATTTAAAAATCTATAGTCAGCACAGCTAAAAGTAAAAAAAATCCTAAAAACTGGTGAATATAACCAGTGTAACGTCCTGTTCTGTCTCCTTTGAAAGCATCCAGTATCTTTTTATAGCTTTATAATTTTGCATATTCTAAGCCTGCCTGGTGTATGTCTTTTAATTTTTTTTTAAAAAAGGGATGTTTTTGTTCTGCTGTAATGTGGTTTAGTAATTTGATATTTGTCTTATTTTCCTCTTTGACATTCTGCTTATATTAAAAAATACATTGTCATAAAAATCTTAGAATATTTGGTTTCGCAACTCTGTGCAATCTGCTATTCACACCTTCAAATCACTGATGTTTATATCTACTTTAAATCCTCAATGTTGGTTGGGGAAATAGGGAAAAAGAAGAGAAGTCATGTGCTTCTTAATAGAAATAATCCTCTGAAATTATTCCTTTTATTTTTTTGTATTCTGACTGATTTGATCAATATATTATCTATGAAACATAAGATGGACTGAGAGTGGCAGTAACAGGGATTTTTGAGATAACCATATATAATAAAGAATACTAGCCATTTGGTATCAGTTAACTTAGATTGTTCTTATTATATTTAACTAATATTTCCTTTTTTTTCCAACATAATTAATTTGTACCAGTTGGGAACAAGGCCCTCTATATTTGTTTGTATGTCTAGGATTAGAATAGTTGTGGGTGAGTATTTGTAATTCTAAAACTGTTTTTTGAATGTTTAATGTTTCTCTTTTTCAAGTCATTCTGAAAATAAAAGTACAGCCAGAAGGAATGACAATTAAAAAAAAAAAAGACTGAAACCGATAAGCATGTATCTTTCAGTATATAAATTTTGCACAAGATAGAATTGTAATTATCAGATGAAACATGAAGATTTCTATATGCATATAAAATCAGAGAATTCCATGCCTTTTTTTCTGTTCAGTTCACAATAGTTGGGTGAATTGTTAATTTGATTTCTTTTCTAATTTGCTTTAGATTTCTACGGAAAGCCATTGCCACCACTTGCTATGCATCAAAGACCTAACAGCGATATGCATGGTGTCATTTCTTAACTAGTCATCATTTTGCAGCTTTCAAGAGGAATCTAAAATAACATTACATTAGACATTGCTTTCTTTTTTGAAGAGATACCTGCTAATTCCTATAAGTTGCTGGGCAAGGCACCAAGATTACATTGGGATTCCTGGTAAGGATGTTACTTCTAAAGGTTAACAAATCTGCTTCCTCAATTTACCAGCTGCTCTTCAAAGTTGACATGGAACAAGAAAACTCACAAGCAGAATTCTTGCAAAAGAAATGACAATCAAACTCAACTTGGTTATGCATATACATGCTTTCAGTTTGGCTAAATATTTTTCTATATTCAACTCTTCAAGAGTTTTTTTAAAAGTGCACACATGTTCAAGGGGGAAGATGTGAATTATACATTTAAACATTTTGATATATTTTTATAGTATTTTGTTTGTTTTTAAGAAATTATTTGGTCAACAGAACTATTTTGACATACTAAAATGCCTACCTATATTCATAAGTATCTACTACATTTTTTTGGGAAAAGCAATATATTTGTGTGTGATTTAAATCACAGTTTGCCTAATTGTTAATTATGTTGTTTTATCTTGTTCTTGGAAAGAACTATGTGTTGGAAGGAAACTATATTCATGTTTTCCTTGATGGGAAACAGCACTTCTGGCGTTCATTGTGACCATTACTTTTATGTTCTTGGAGCTAGAGAGAAAGGGAACTTTTTGACTTTCCAAAGGATATAAATAAATATCCTTCAATTACTGTATAGAGTTTGATATTCATGGCCACTGCTCTTGCAGTACTTACTTTATTTTGGGAAGATGTGAACATATGAATTGGAGAACTAGGGCTGTGGGTCGCTTTAAAGTAAGCAGAAGTAGAATTGAATTACATCTCCTTATACCAAATGTAACAAATGTATCTTCTCCCAGGCTTATGTGGCAAGCTTAGCTGTTTTAAAGAGTAGTAGGCAGATACAAAGTTCATATTCCTGCACAATTCAAGCCAAGTTTTTGGCTTTGAATTCAAATTACTCCATAATCTTTATTTCATTCATGCAAACATATTTCCCTATTAGGTTGCGGTTCCATATATGCTGAAATAAATGAAAATGTTTATATAAAAAAGGTATCTTTCTCCCCTGAATATTTTTTTTATTAATAATTTTTTATTTTTCCAAACTCTCCCCCATACATATACCGTAATACTTATCAGATGTTAACATACATTCCCTCCACACCCACATACAAGATACTTTTAACAAAATGAAATAAATACATACACATGACTTTTGGTGTTGCTCGCCCATTTCCCCTTTCACCGTATCCACACTCCTTCTCTACCTTCTTTCTCCCTTTCTTCTCTTCCCTACTTCCCTCTTCTTCCCCTCCTCTCCTTCACCACTCTCCTCCCCTTTCTTCTTCCCCCAACCTTCCTACTTCCTTCTCCCTTCCTTTACTCTTTTCTCTCCTCTCCTTTCTTCCCTTTCATCCCTCTTCAGATACAATCTCCCCTGAATATTTTTATTGCTTCAGTTACTAATTGCAAATAACATTCTAATAGTGAACATTTCTAAAAATATGTAAATGCATTTCTTTTAAAAAAAACATTACAGTCCAATTTTACTTCCTTTTTTTATTGTGTATTAGAGGTAAATGATCAGAATTTCCATATGATCAGAGGTTTTTCTGTATGCTCAGATAGAGAAGTAGTTGAATGGCTTACAAGTAGCATAAAGCCTTAATACTAAACTGAAAAGTCTGTGAATGTAATGAGGTTTGAAAATTCTTACCTTCTAGCAACTTCTGTTTCTTTGCAGTTTATCTTACTCAAAAGCTTCTGTTTCTTTGCAGTTTAAATTAATGCTTTTATTCTGCTTGATGATAGTAATGGCCATGTCATGAAACTGATCGTTTGAATCCTTTCTCACATGATCTGTATCTATCCTAAAGTCATATAAAAAATAGTCTCATAAACTTAGTTGCATGCATATAAGCTGAATGAGTTTGTAAGATTACTTTCTGGCTAATGTAAAAGATGGTGCATAATTCATGGTACATAATTGTTTCCATATATAGTTTCAATATTCCTGAATTTTTAGGTTACCGGTATATACAAAAATGGAAGTTTGTTTTCCATTTCCCCCAAGAAGTTAAATGTTCTTTTCTTTTAGTTAACACTGAAAACTGTTAAGGATTGTCCTACTTTCTTGAAACTCAAAAACACTTTTTCCTCTCAAGGCTTATGCAATAGGACTTTCTCCTTACCCATGCTGTATTTTTCCCTACCTCCAGTCCTCAAAATCTGTTTCAAATAGAACATTTTCTGTCTGGAGAAGATTTTGAAGGCAACTCATGGTTAGGAATAATTATTTACCTTCTATTGTATCAGTGGAAATAGATTCAATAATGAAGCATATTCATGGGATTTTTGTTGTTACAAGATACATAAGTACTAGGAAAGTGTTTTTAACATGCTGACTTTCCTTTTATTATGGATTATTTATTGAATATGCATTGAATGTTTTTATGTATGAAATAAATATACACAGAAATGTGCTTTAATATTTCATCATACAATTCACTTTATCTGGAACACAGCTTTTTTTTTTTTTAAATTATCAGAAAAGGTTTTAAATTATCTGTTGAAGTTTTTCCCAAAACATTTGAGCACAAGATTGGATGGAGTAAGACTTTTGCTTCGGAAATTATTTTAAATAAATATTTTAATTCTTGTATGAGCACATTACTTCTCCATTGTTCATTAAACCAACCTTCTTCATTTGATCCTGGGGGAAAAAGCAGGGCTTTAAAGAGTTGACACTGTGAAAAGTTGCAGCAGCTTTAAGGAGTCAGTTCATTGAAGTTAATGTACCTTAAAGCAGCTACTACTTTTTCTAGGGTTGCACAGACCTAATCTAGAGTGAGAGTTAGCAACGTGAAGTCTTAACAGCTTTTGGATTACAACATCTTAATACCTACAAAGCAGCAGGTTGCTTATCTCTGCTGTAGAGTCTGGATCTAGCATATCCTATTGTTACTTAGCAAAATGTATCAGTTTGAAAAACCCCAAATCTGCTTTTTAAATGCAGATGCACAACTCACAAACATAACATCAGCTAGTTGGGCATCATCCAGTCCATTACTTTGTCTAGGTGCTAGTTCAGAATATCAATTGCCTCACCTGTGTTAGGTAAAATGGAGAGGGAGAGCTTGGTGTTATTCATGTATTTTGGGCATCTCAGCCTACATCATATCTCCCAGCAGTTCAGTGTAGATGTTAAAGAGCATAGTAGATAAAATGGAGCCACGAGGGAATTCATAGCCATAAAAATGAATATAATGCATGGATCCTCATGATTTTGATTTTTTCACAGCATTCACATGAAACTACCATCAATCAGATCTCTGCACTCACTGAGCCATTATAGTTCTAGCACCAGCTGGTTTTGATGCTACCTGGACACAAAAGCCCTGGACTGAGAGGATTCATGGATTTCATGGATTCCATTGAAATTTCCATTCAAATGAAACCACAATCACATGTAATTAATCTGCATAGAATTAGTCATAAAATAAATGTCAAAAACTAATTTTACAACTGATTATCCTATGATTTGCTTCAATAAATCCTTTGGAGCTCATTTCCCTGCGTTCATTTTGATAACTCTCAAGTATTCTGTGTCCTATCCCATTCCTTAAGGAGTTTGGGCATTTCTCCAAATGGAGAATTACTGACCAACTAACAAAATCAGTGGTCAAACTATAAACATTTGTTATTAATGTCACCAAAAAAATGTACATTTTAGATGGGATTCAACTAAAACTTTCACATTGCACGTAACATCTATCTGTGGCCAATGAATGATTTCTGATACCCTTGTGAGGCAAACATGTAAAATTGAGGTTTGGACCCTATCAAGTTATTTTTTTCACTGAGTATATCTGCACTAATTGCTTCAAAATGGCGTAAAAATATAGACCCAAGAAACTGATCACTGTTTTTAAGATTCATAACAATTATTAGACACCAACGAGGAGCAGTGAAGCTCACTAGTACCATTGAGCCAGCCTACATTACAGGGTGGTTGTGAGGGAAAATGGAAGGGAGTACTATGTAATTTGCCTTCAACTGTAGATCAGAAAGTAGGAGATAAATGAAGTGCTTTTCTAGTATTAGTAAAAAAAACTAGGTGAACTGTCCTCTTAGTAGAAATTAAGGGATCCTTGATTTTTCAGTAAAGCATCAATTATGTTTGAAAAAAAATATTGGCAAGCAAAGATCAGATTCAAGTAGATCCTGTTTTTAGATGCTAGCTTTTCATTTATATACTGCGCTCCCGATCCACAAGAAGTGTTAAAAAGTTAAGAACTAGCTACGTTCCAGCCCGAATTTCATCCAGCCTAGTCAAATGCCGCTGCGTCACGAGTCGTTGCCGGTTCCTCCCCGGCAGGAGGCGCTATTGTGGTCCCCTCTTCCCCTCTCCGCCGTGACTCGATTTTCTGAGGCGCTTCCGCCGGCCAGACTAGGGAGAAAAGAACGACATGCCCGCTGCTTCCAACGCTGAGCATGCTCTCGCGGGGAATGCTTCTGGCAAATTTGGTTGCCGCTCACCGACACAGAAAGGAACAGTATTTCTCGGCGAGGAGCCAGGTGAGTGCGAACCGGTTGAGAAGACCGAACTTTTGCTTCGCCGCGTTTTCCTGTCTTTCCCAGAATGCTCAAAGTCGACTTAAGTGGGTAAAGTGAAATTATAGACCCCGCGGTGTCCTAGCTACTTGGAGATGGAGATCTCAGTTAGTTTTGCTTCGCCAATACAATCAAAAAGGAAATTTAGACCTCATTTCCGGTGTTAATGGAAAGGTGCGTTTTTCTTTTCCTCGTCGGGATAGAATGGGGTTCCACAGTTTCTTGCGGAAAACAATATACCAAATGCCTGAGTTTTAGGCTTTTTTTTCTCACTTTACCTACAAAAGGCGTAAGTGATTGAGTGACCCCTGTTGCAAATAATCTGCCCCCAAAATCAAACTATTTTAAAGAGATTTGCGGGTTAGCGTATAACTTGCATATTTGGTGTTTATGCATGTCTCTTTCTCTCCCTCTCTCCCTCATGCCAAATCAGAAAGAGTCACCATCAGAAACAAAGCTTCAGAAGCAAGCATGCCAGGTTGTTCTCAATCACTTCGAGAAACAGTACTCTAAAGAGTTGGGAGGAACATGGAATTCAGTCAGGTTAATTTCTGTTTTCTTTTCTTCCTACTCTTTCCTCCCGACCCCAATCCATTTTTTAAAAAAATAATAATTAAAATGCCAAAGCACAAAGCATCTTTGTGTAATTTTCCTCTTCTCCATAGGCTGCACCGAAGCTTTTAGGAGGGCAGCATAAAGGTTGTATAATATTTGGCATTTATATCCTACCTTATTTTTGTTCACCCAAACCTGGTTACGCAGTGACTGATCCAAATTCAGCTATTGGTTGAATTTGCACTATTTATTTAACCAGGTGACCTTGTAGTTATAATAATAATCAAATGTGTGCTGCCTTAAGGTTCTGAACAAAACTGGAATATTAATTTAACATATAAATAAAGAAGTTTTAACTTTAGTTTTCTATTATGGAATCCCAGCTTATTAAATTAATTTATTGTGTGAATACAGAAAATGAATTAATTCAATAACTAAGTTAAGTCATAAAAAAAGAGCTGGTAAATTCCAGGAGAGTTGAATCTTGATCATTTGACCCTTAAACCAACAGTCTAACCCAGTGGTGCTCAACCTGTGGGTTGGGACCCCATTTGGGGTCGAACGACCATTTCACAGGGGTCGCCAAACAAGGCTGTCCGCCATTTTTTTCCCCCTTTTCTTTGGCCACGCCCCTGGCACCCGGTGATGTATAAGTGGTTGGGGGTCACCACAACATGGGGAACTGTATTATGGAGTCGCGGCATTAGAAAGGTTGAGAACCACTGGTCTAACCACTATGCCAGTACAATGCTTTTCGTCTAAGGTCTTGATTAGAAAATAAATTGCGTAGCAAATGATGAAAGACGAATTTTTCCTGACTTCAAGGCCACATTTCGCAACTCAAATTCTGCACCCTTCACCTTGTGCATACACATTCAGAATGGCTTATTTCAGATTAAAAGATGTGCAATATGCTGTCCTGCTTTAATTGCCTTATATGTAACTGAATCTAGAAATTAATGACCAGTTTAACCTCTCTAACCTTTCAGATACAACAACTACTCATAGTAACAAATTGTTGAATTCTTATATATCACTTCATACCTGGATTTTTTTCTTTCATCTGCAGGGAAATTCTTACAACACCACAGTACTGGCAATATGCAGTCCTCCTTAATAAATTCAGTTGCTCCTCTGCAATGGAGTCTTATTTGTGTTTAAAGAACTATCGCCTCCTTTTCCCAAGACCTTCATCCTCTTTTCCACAATCACTGAAGTGTTACATCAGTGATGTTCCTGGAAGATTCCCTGCTCAGAAACACAGAGATGGACAATTAAAGCAATACTACCTGCTAAATGCTGCCTCTCTGCTGGCAGTACTGGCTCTGGAAGTAAAAGATGGAGAAAAAGTGTTGGACATGTGTGCTGCTCCAGGGGGTAAATCAGTAGCTACACTACAATATGCTTGCCCAGGTAAGAAGGAAGGAAAGGAGCTCCTGTGGATTTTACTCTGCTAGTTGTAACTGACTATGGGGGCAGTGCTTATCTCTGTTTCAAGGGCTGTTGAGCCAACACTGTTTGAAGATATTTCCATGGTCATGTGGCCAGCATGACGTCACAGAGTGCTATTTCCTCCCCACTAAAACGGTACCTTTTTGTCTACTCGCATTTGCATGCTTTCGAACTGCTAAGGTAGGCAAAGACAGGAGCTCACCCCATCACATGACACTTGGTCTCAAACTTGGACTGTCAGCCAGTGTCTTAAACACTGAGCCACTATGCCACCCCAGGTAAACCACTCCATTAGTAAACCCAATAATACATTGTTGGTAAGCTTGTTCCCAAAAACACATTTAACAGTTTATTCAAAGGCATTGATAAGGAATGCTCTCATGGCATTCTTTTTTGCTTGATTTTAGGCTGAAACCAGGAATTAATTTATATTCTAAATATAGTCTTAAATGCCTTGAGAAAACTGGTTTGGCTATGTGTGTTTTTTTTTAAATCTATCTTTCTTGCATAGGGCTTTTACAGTCAAATGAATATGATAACTTGAGATTCCATTGGTTGAAGCAGACACTAGAATCCTTCATTCCAGAATCTTTGATGAGCCTAATTACTGTTTCTCCTAATGATGGAAGAGAAATAGGAAATCTTCACCCTGAAAAGTTTGATAAGGTATATCTAAATTGGCTAATAATTTTATGAAGGCTATGTTTTTCTCTTATCTCTGGTTAACTTATCTAATTAAAGCATATCATAGTGATAGCTCTTTCTTTGTACAGAATACAGAAAAAAATACATTTTTATTTTTTGTTCAGAAATATACCATTGGTTTTCTTTGGGTCTCCTCTCCAAGAAGAATAAGTTAACAACATAGAATAACAGGGTTGGAAGGGACCTTGGATGTCTTCTAGTCCAACCCCCTTGCTGTAGGTGACCCTATACCCTTTCAGACAAATGGTTGTCCAATTCTCTTCTTGAAGACCTCCACAGATGGAGCAACCCAGCTTCTGGAGGCAAGCCATTCCACTATTTAATTATTCTCTCTGTCAGGAAACTTCTTAATTCTAGGTTGGATCTTTTTAATAATCTACCCATTGCTTCTTGTCCTGCCATCAGGTGTTTTGGAAAAGTATTTAGACTAGACATACCAAATTCCTGCAACCGTTCATCATAAGGTTTAGCCTCTATAACCCCCTATCATCTTTTTTGCTCTTCTCTGCACTCTCCCTAGAGTCTTAACATCTTTTTTATATTGTGGTGACAAGAATTGAACACAGTATTCCAAGTATGGTCTTACAAGTTCAGTATGAAATGGCATTATCACTTCTCATGATCTTGATACCATTCCTCTGTTGATGCAGCCAAACACTGCATTGGCTTTGTTGCAGTTACAGATAATAATACAATAACAATTATTCAAGACTGGTACTTGGAGATTTAGTGGTCTGGAAGTCCCATAGTCCAGATTCCTGCTTAATGTAGAGCTAGCAATTAAAATGTAATTATAAACAAAATTTAAGAATAGCCAAAGAGTATTCTGTGTGTGTCCATGAATGCATGTATGTATGTTTCTGTCTAGAGTGGGAGACATACCTACATCCATATGGTATCCTGAGAATTCAGGCGTACAGAATACACTGCATATGCTTCCTAAGTGGTGAGTTGTGAATAAATCACTGACATAGAATTGTGTGAGCTTGCTTGGAATAAAATTGGCCTTTGTAATACAATAGTCATAATGTACCCATATTGTCAGGCATATTCCTTCCATTAGCAGGGAATGCTGCAGTTAACTTTAAAAAACTTAGAAATAAGTGAAATAAACTAGAATCAAAGTTAAATAATTGCCAGAAGGGAAAGTATGAAATGATGTTAAAAGAGAGATTAGTATTCCAACAGAATAAGTGGAAATTGTTACAGAATGCCAGTGATAAGTGTGGAGACATTATGAATGCATGCATGAGAAACATCCTTAAAAGCATAATGAAATAAAAGATGAATCTATGAGAAAATTGCATATAAGAGAATGATTAATGCAAAAAAATGAGAAAAATGTATAATATATGGTTAATGCATCAAGCCTAGGGACTTGAGGGAATTGGTGAACTAGTGAGGTAGTACTGTATTCACCTATTTAGCTGTGTTTTATAGTTCTTAATGTTTTTAATAATGATTGTTATTTGTAAAGAGTTTTTTATTTTATTTTTTGTATGCTGCCCAAAGTCATTTGTTTATATGGGTAGCTACATAAATTTGAAAAATAAAGTCTTTATAGAAAAAAACATAGCTGAAAAGATGTAAGAACAAGCAAGGAAAGGTTAAAGGAAAGAAAATGCAGATTGATTACAGTGGAAATAAAACTGGAAGTGGATAAAATGGTTTGCACAAGAAACCTTCAATAGCGAGAATGGAATTAAAAGTAAAAGTGATGAAATCATTTGGGATGAAGTCAAAGTGAAGAAACGCTGAAAGAGTGTTTTAGAGATTCATAGGGGCATGACAGTGATGCATTGAATGTAGAATTGAAATGAATGGTCTAAAAATTAATGCCCTTGATTGTGGAACACCCTTCCACCTGAGATCTGGCAGGCTGCTACCCTCCTAGACTGCTGGAAACCAAGAGCAAACTTTTCCTGCAAGCTTTGGGGTAGAGTAGGGATGGAGCCTAGAAAAACTTTAATGTTGATAAATGCTTTTTCTTTGGGGTGCCAGAAGCTTTTGTTAATAACCTTTATTAAAAAAAATTGGATTTTTAATATTCTGTGAGCTACCCAAGATTATGGCACCAAAGCTGGATAGCTACAGAAGACTTCTAAATAAAATAAAATATGAGCTTGTACATGCTGTTAGGTTGAACGGCTGAGTGTGAACATTTGCATAAGTTGAAAGTTGGTTGCTAAGTATTAATGTATGGTGGGACGAAAACATGTATGAGAATAAATGAAATCCTTAGTGAACGGTTTGATTTTGAATTAGGAATGTGCGTGTATGATTCTCATTACTTTTTTATGTATTTATGGACAAATGTGGAAGCTTATGATGTTATAGGTGTAGTGTACTTTTGAGTACAGATGATGCTGTGCTAAGAATTCAAATGATTAATACTGAATAGCAGACATTATAGGAAGGGACTCTGATATCAAATATCAGACAGAAGTGAAGATGGTAGAATCTGTTCCAGCTAACAAAATTTATTAAAAACTGCAGCTCATGAAAGTGTATCCTTTCAATAAAATTTATTAGTTAGAAAAAGTAATTTCAGACTCCTAGAAAATGCTAGATTGTATAATGTGTCAAGGGGTCTAAGTCTGATAATGAATATATCATACACCAGGATGGTTGTATTTGACAAGGAAAATGGTGTGTATAATTATACATATATGTATGTCATCCTGTGACAATTTGCAACAGGACATTAAACTTCAGGATCTAACTAGACCTTATTTGAGGGGGATGGGCAGTTCAGAAATGTGAAATATAATAAAAATTCTATAAAGCAATATAAGCAGTAATATCAGTGAAAAATATTCATATACATATAATCCAACCCAGCAATCTAAAACAAAGATTGTCAGTAACAACTTGTTACATGATAACTGATTTTAGTAAAATTATTATACACTCAAAAGTGCATGTAAGTGTAAACGTACTGCCCACAATGGAGGAATGGCTGATGAAGATGATGGAATTTGCAGAAATGACTAAATGGACTTCTTTGATTATAGAAAAGACAATATCTGTATTTGTTGCTGACTGGAAACCCTTTATAGATTTCTTGCATGAAGCAGAAAAAAAAACTTTTGATTTATGATTTTAATGATTAGAAAACATTAGACATATAAAACACTGAGCTTTTTATTATAAGAATATAGTTAAGATTTTATAATCATTTGCTGTATTTGCTGCAAAGGATTTCTGTTTCTGTTTTATCTTTTTGTATTTTAGTCTTTTCATTTTCCCTTTTCTTTCTTTACTTGGTATTAATTTCTGATAGCTTTTATCTTCTTAAAATCTTTAATAAACTTTATACCCAAAAAGTAGTAATTTGCTAATTAAGAAAGAAGCATATACTTAAAAAATGCACTAAGTTTAGTATTCCAACCACTTTTACCCATTACGGTAAACTCTTTTGGAAGCTTTTATGTTATAGGCTATGACATAGTAAAAAATATTTTGAAGCTATTTTACATTTTCATAAGTATTTGCTCAAGAAGAGGTTAATGCCGTCTTTCTTTTATACAGACTATACATATATGGCTTGGAATGCAAAAGGTTGTTTTTTTAATGTATAAGTGAGTAAGTACGTTATATCATATATAATATTTTTCATAACCTTTTGCTACCTTTGGAAAAATTTAGCTTTGTTAAGAGAAAATTAAAGGAGAATTTTTACAGCATTTATACATTTTTTAATTACTCTATGTCATAGAAGAAGATTAAGATCTGTTTATTATTCCCTGCTGTAGGTCTTAATGGGCTTAAGTTCCAGGAAGACAATATCCTACTGAATGTTGAAAAACTTCCTAACAACAAAAGCAGTGTCACAGTAGGACCGATTACTCAATTGTTCAAATGATAGCCATTTGTAAGAAATGTCTTTGGTTAAACTAACTAGTCCATTTTAACTCCATGATTATGTTTTGTGATTCTACTAAAGCTATTTTTCTATTGTTGTCATTGATTATTCAGATCCTAGTGGATGCTCCTTGCTCAAATGATAGAAGTTGGTTATTCTCTTCTGATACCCAGCAGGCTACTCTGCGCTTAGCACAAAGGAAGCTATTATCTGCTGTACAGATACAACTGCTCAGGTAAAAATTGAAAAGAAAAAGGGACTGCTCGTTCCCAGAATGAAGTACGTGCTGAATCATATTCTGAAACTCTACATCTCCTTGACCTATGTATTATCCTCTCCATATGTAGTCACACTGAGCCAGTCATTGTTCCAAAAAGCATGGAGCTATACTGCTTTCTCCTAGTAACTACCATAGTGTATAGAGAGCACCATTCAAGTTTTCCTCCTGAGTTCTTTCACATTTGTAACTAGGACATTCCCAAAGGGTGGAGGAAGGGAAAACATCAGACATCCATATCTTGAGTTTTAATGTACTTTGAACAACAGGAACAGATCAATGCCTGGTATCCTTTTTAAAAACACCTTACAGAAAAAAAATATTTGTAATTCTTAAATTGTAGTAAATAAGTAAAAGTTGTGAATACCAAGTGTCTGTTAATCTACATTTGAGTGAAGAAAGCAATATAGATAATCCTTGACATACGATCTATGAACTTATGATCATTACAAGTTACTCGACCCTGAATCAGTGATGGTTACAACTGTCCTCAGAGTTCCAGTCATCCCAGAACTTCCATGGTCATGTGATCACAGCCTGGATGCTTAGCTACCTGTTCACACTTACGACTAGTTGTCAAGTGTCATGTGATCACCATTTACACGCTCTCTCTGACCCTCCCCTTGCATATCCCCCTCCTAGTTTCCCATTTGGCAGCAGCCACTTACCTGCCTGCAGCCCTGAGACTTGCAACTTGCTGCTGACTGCCACACTGATTTTGGTTGTGGGAAGTCAGCAGGAAGTTGCTTTGCCTCACAATTGTTGGATTCAGTTAACAATGGGAACTGAGATTTCAAGGATTGCAATCACTAAGCAATATGGTTACACTTTATGACTCTATTGTTTAGTGACATAAATTCTAGTCCCAGTTGCTGTCACAAGTTAAGTACCTGTTAGAAGGATCTAGGCCAGCCTTTGTCCCTAACCTACTTCTTTTCCTATGCATTGTATTACAATTCTAGGAACTCCTAGTTAGCGATATGGTCAGGGAATTAAAAATGCCATACACCAGGATGCCATCAGTGGACAATGTGAATTCAGACATTAGCATGGGATGGTAACAGCGCTGGCCATTAATGGATGCCCTGTGATGGAACTTAAATAGTGGCAGCACTATTTAATCTTATCAGCCTTCAATATTGTCAACCACAATATTTTTCTGAATGGCCTGCAAGGATTAGAAATTCAGGGCACTGTTCTACTTTCCCACCTGGGCAAGTCAGTTCAGTCAGTTTAACAAAAGGAAAGAGGTTGTCTCAGGACTCAGTTCTCTCTCTGGTTCTGTTTAAGATAAAGCTGCTGAGAGAGATCATCTGCCAATTCAAGTTGAGATGTTATAAATACAAGCTAAAACCCAGTTATATATTTCTACCTAAGGCCAAATTGATAATTTAATTTGGGTATTTTGCTTTACCTAGAGAGCTAGTTTATTTAGGAGATGCAATCCATAAGCAAATAAAAATGAATCATAAATTACATTCTCTAGCAGAGAAACACACACACACACACACTGCACATTATTGTTATCAGAATTTTCTTTTTCTCCATAGTATTATGCAATGGGCAGTGTTTGGGAGACATGTTTTTAAATATACAGTATGTATAAGCCTAATTATTACTTATAAGCTTTACATATGAAGAGTTGTTTGAGTTAGACTCTATTCTCTTCCCCATCCTAATTGGAAAATTCTCTGTCCCTATCTTCAGCGTAAGATTCAATATTTCATTTTCCATTTCTGTTTAAACCAACTATAGTTCCTTTTACCTATAGTCTGAGTCATGATCGCAACTTAATTTATCAAAATAAAAATGAAAGTTTTTGCTGTCTTTGGTTCAAAGTATTAGCCATGTTATAAAGCCAAATAACGTGTCAGTTTTATATAAACGAATTCCTTGTCACTAAAGAAGAGCCAATTGAAAGCAGTATGATGGGCATAGCATCCCTGAAGGTTGCCCGGCTGTTACATAACTGTTATGTTTTTAAACACCTTTGTGGGAGGGGGAGGGGGAAATCTAGCTACATATCAGAATAGAATTCAAAAGAAGGACAAGGCAGGGTTGTTTTCTTAATGAAATGCAAGAGGAATAGACACCTTGGAGCAGAAAAAATGATAGACCACAGGTGTAATTTCTCAGAAGCCTTGGATGATGTTTCCTTAATGTCTTCAAGGAATCCACCAAATTATAAAAATTAATATTATTGAATTATTTGGTGCCTATTAGTTAATTGAGCTATCTAATTATTAATTAAGATAGCCAGTTGGGTATAGTTATTAAGGCAGCACGCTCAAAACAAGGAAATTGAGTTCTAGTCCCACTTTAGGCAAAAAGCGAACTAGGGGGAGATGTCATTCTCTCTCAGCCCTAGGAAGAAGGTACTGCAATGGTGGCCACTTCTGAAATTTTGCCAAAAATAATAATTATAATCCTGCAGGACTTGTGCAGGCAGTTGCAAAGAATCAACACTGACTTGAAGGCATTAAACAAAAAAACCCAATGAATTAAAATTTCTTCTTTCTAGATCCACTCCTTTGTTCTGATTATTTTTTGGAGCAGATTACTTCAAGGGTTCAATCCAGTCCTTGGCAAAACACACAAACAGACACACAGAGACATTTTGTACCCTTCCTTTGACTTGACTTCTTTTATTCACTGGAACATTTGTAACCATAGGTTTTAACAAAATTAACTTCTCTTGGATCCATTACTATTGTCCTCTTCACACAGTAAGCTTGACAGAGTCATGAGAGAGGCAGTGAATGAGCTATGCAAAAAGTGAGAAAAGAAATACATTGACTAGACTGCTAGATGTTAAATTTAGTTTAAGCAGGCATAGCGTTGATTTAGATGGGAACTGATACTGAAAGGTTAACTAGCACTTATCTTTTATAAGATAGCCCTATAAAAACAAGGTCTTTCTAAAAACATTGTCTCTGTTGCCGTTCTTTTTTCTATTTCTCCATAGCAACACTTGTTGAGAGACAGAGCAATGAGATACACTTAGAAATTAGTAAAGTAATAGCAACAGCAATAGCACTTAGACTTATATATCGCTTCACAGGGCTATACTGCCCCCTTTAAGTGATTTACAGAGTCAGCATATTACCTCCAACAATTTATATACCACCCCATAGTGTTTTATAGCACTTTCTGAAAGATTTACAAATGTCAGCGTATTGCCCCCAACAATTTGATTCCTCATTTTACCAATCTCGGAAGGATGTAAGGCTGAGTCAACCTTGAGCCGGTGAGGATCGAACTCCTGGCAATGAGCTGAATTAGTCTGTAATTCTAATCACTGTGCCACCATGGTCCTAGGGAAAAGTCTTCCTCCGACCACTCCCACCCCTACCTCTGTAATGTCAACATTGCAGTTGAAAGACCGGGCCATCTCATGTGTGTTATTTGTGCACATAGAGGAGTCACTTGGCTAGGCAGAATCATTTGTTTTATGCAAAGAAGGCCAGTGGGAATTGTTCAAGAGCTGCCTTTCTTTTCAGAAAAGTTTGCATAGAAATCCATTTGAATTTTACAAAGTAGGGCTGTTCTTCCTTAATTAGCACTGCAATTTTGCAAAACATTATCTGGACATTGCTAACCATCTCTGCATTCTTCATCATATAGTCTAAATAGTATCTATCTTTTAAACCTGTTAAAATTCAAAATTTTGAAAGAAGAGCATTCAGTTTCCTATCATATTTGCATTTCACATGGTGTCTGTATAAATGGGGTATAGTATCCTCGCCTCAGTCTGACTGTGAGGTCATACATCAAACTATAGATCACATAGTGACGAGGGCATATACCGATCCAGTATCTGGTTTTATTTTTTAATACAAATGATGTTGCGCTTCAATGGTAGATGGCCTAGACCAGGGCTTTTCAACCTTTTCACCAATTACATCACTTTTAGGATATGGCAGTATCGAGTATCCCCTAGCAAGATGTCAAAACTTGATGACCAAAAAAAAAAAGGAAAAAAGTGATAAAGTACAGGTAGTTCTCGACTTACAACAATTCACCTAGTGACTGTTCTAAATTACAATGGCATTGAAGTGACTTATGACCATTTTTCACACTTATGACCATTGTAGCATCCCCAGGGTCATGTGATTTATATTTGGATGCTTGGCAATTGATTCATATTTATGATGGTCACAGTGTCCCAGGGTCATGTGATCTCCTTTTGCAACCTTTTGACAAGAAAAGTCAATAGCAGGGCTGCTGGTGGCCAAGTGCTAAGGTGGGACTTCCTTCAGACCCTCCCTCCCTTTCATTCCAATCTCCCTCCCTCTTCTCTTCCTTCCTGTTTCCCTCCCTCCTTCCCTTCCTCCCTCTTTCTCATTCCCATCTTCCTTCTGAAGGAAGAATTTAAAACCTTCCCCCAGTATTTTCCCTCTTCCATATATTTATCTAATAAGGAAAAGCCTCAAGAGACAGAAAAGACAAGCCGCTGAGGGAACTAGTTTTAAAAGGCGCATTCCCCTTTAAGAATTAGCTATTAGCTAGAAAGGAAAATTATGGAGCAGGTGGCACTTAAAAAAACAAAAAAAAACAAATGTAGCAAGTACTGGCTGCTGGCTAAGGCATCCTCCCCTATTGGCTCCATTCATAAGTAAATGAATGCTACAGGCAAAATCCATTCAGGACAAAAATACTTCAAAAGCCCTTGCAGCAAAACTTACATCTAACAATAACAGAGCAATAGAATTAGAACCAGTAACTCCTTGCACCAAAATCCGACCATGGGACATCAGTCATCAGCCACAATAGAAATTGCCAGACATATTGCACAAATCCCAGAACTTCAAAGTCACAAAATCACATAAGAATCCTTTTACTTTCCCAGTTTGTTGTTCAGCAGATCCAGAACTGAACTGCTGAAATGGCACTTCGCTTCTCCCAATAAACATCTTCTCTTGAGCAGCCGGCTTCCTCTCTATTTCAAACGGCGCTGC